CTGCGCGGGGTGTCCAGAGAAACGAGAACCCCACTTAGGATGTGGGGAACAAGAACCCCACTGTTGGATGTGGGGAAAAAACAGAGAGAGGGAGAGAGAGAGAGGGGGTGTGGGAGGACTGCGCGGGGTGTCCAGAGAAAACAAGAACCCCACTTAGGATGTGGGGAAAAAACAAAACAAACTCAACTGTTTCTCTCCAACATGTCGTCGAGTTGCGAGAAGTGCGGGAAGAATGGGGCGGAATGAACATCGCTTGAGTAACCCTAAACGGATGGTCGCGTCCTACCCATTAACAAAAACAATACACAGTCAACGATTTCCTCGACACGTGAACTGTTTTGTCGTCGACGCTGCGAAAAGTGTAGCACGAATGGGACGCGGCGCACATCGCGCGCGGACGCCTGGCCAACCTTACGCGGGACCCCCCGTCCTACCTGTCAAAAAAACACCGCAGCATCGTCGCGGTTCTTGCCAACATGTATTTTCTTCTCGTCGGCGCTGCGAATCGCGTAGCGGGAATGGGACGCCCCGAGAATTCCCAAGACGCAGTCTCCTGTTCCCCCTCAGTTTCTCCCTCCCTCTTTCCCTCCCCTCCTCCTCCTCATCCTCCTCTTTTTCCTCCTCCTCCTCCTCCTCCTCCTCCTCCTCCTCCTCCTCCTCCTCCTCCTCCTCCTCCTCCCTCCTCCTCCTCCTCCTCCTCCCTCCTCCCTCCTCCTCCTACCTCCTCCTCGTCCTCCTCCCTCCTCCTCCTCCTCCTCCTCCTCCTCCTCCTCCTCCTCCTCCTCCTCCTCCTCCTCCTCCTCCTCCTCCTTTCCAGTGGATAGGGGCAGTGGCCAAGTATGCAGGTGTAGTGTTTAATGCTGTGGTGGCCTTCGCCAGGTATACCCGCCCGCTCGGCTTCTTGCTCCAGGCTTCGAAGTCGGGGTACCTGGCGTCGTCGACGGAGGCGGCCAAGGCCGTCAAGGCCCGAGCGTACAGGCTCAGGCTACAGCAGTTTCAGACGGCCAGGAACCTAGGTCACGACACGTTTGCTGGCGGCATCCCCCGCAGAGCCCTCGAAAGAAAAAGGTTGGGTACTGTGTTGGGGCGCCGGGGGCGGCTTCGGGCCCTCAGGAAGGCCTGGGGTCTCAAGGTGAGGACTCTGTGGCGCACCGGTGTTATGCCGTCAGGTAGTCATGGAGCGGGGGTGGTAGGCCTCACGGACTCCACCCTCATGAAGTTGAGGTCGTTTGCAGGCGAGTTGGTAGGAGCTAGGCGAGGCCTCGCGTCGCTCACTGCGTATACTTGCACGCAGAGAGACAGGTTTTATGATCCCACCTTCGACGCCACCTGCCCTCTGGTTGTCAGATATGCGTGCTGGCTGTGGGATGGTCGGACCTCCCTCTCTCGCCTCCGGACTGCGGTCGTGGCCATCCGTGATCGGTTGGGTCAGCAGGGGTCTTGGAGGCAGTGTTTCGGTCCCATCTCTGCTGCGCTTCTCACGCTTCGTCGCATCGGCTGGGAGTTAGAGGCCCCTCACCTCCTCCTCTCGGACCGTGGCGAGCACATCTCTCTGTATGACTGCGCTCCCAGCGAAGTTCGGAGCCTCGTTCGAGACGGGGTTGAGCGTTGGCTTTGGCGTAGGGTCCCCTTCCACTGGCCAGAGGCGACGGGATCCGAGTTTTGTTGGGCTCGAGCGATGCGCCTGTCCCTCCTGGCTCTCCCAGCGGGTGCCCGTCAAGGTTCGATGCGCGCCCTGTGGTCTGGAGGGTTGTGGCCGCCTGCTCGCAAATTCGACGCGGGCCTGGCTCCGTCAGCTCAGTGCACCTTCTGTGGAGCGGAGCGAGGGTCGATGGGCCACCAGTTTTTCGATTGTTCCAGTGCCTTCGCCTCGGGCGAGGATTCGGGGGATGGCATGGGCTTCCCTGAGGACGTTTGGCAGCACAGGCAGGCCTTGCGGGAGAAAGGGAGGAGTCTGGGGTCGGCCGATTGGGATGTCGTGTCGTCGCTCTACGGGGGTCCCTCCCTCCCTATCCAGTTGCCTCCTCCCCCAGCTCGGCCGCCTGTGCTCACCTGGGGACTCGCGGAAGGTCCTTGGGGCAGGTTTCGGTTCACGGACGGGTCTGGGCTCCATAGCTCGGTGCCCGAGGCCACTAGATGCGGCTGGAGCGTGGTTGAGATTTCTGACGATGGATGGCCATTGAGGGCCAGATTTGGCGGTCTCCCAGGGCGTTTTCAATCGGTCCCCAGGAGCGAGAGGTGGGCGGGGCTAGATGCCATCGCCCTCGGCCCCTCGGGAGGCCTGCCACCTGTCATAATTAGCGACCACCTTTCGTTTGTCAATGAAGGGCGAGGCTGGGACCCCAACCTTGAGTGCGGTACCTCAGCCCACGCGTCGATTTGGCGCAAAATCTTCCTTGTCTGCTCCCAGCACGCTCTGCGTCCTGAGTTCCACTGGACTCCTGCACACTTGTCGCTCCAGGGGTTAATCGATCAGGATGCGGGCGCTGGTGATATATGGCGTTTCATGGGTAATGCTTGGGCCGATTTCTTTGCCAAGCTCGGAGCCCAGGACATCGCTGTTGCGGATGTGGCGGTTGCGTCGCTCCAGGCCGCCATAAGCGATTGCAAATTGTCGTGCCAGTTTCTCTCACGAGCCGTCCAGATAATCTGTGCTCGTCCCGAGGTCTCCCAGGCGCCTGCTGCTCCAGTGCCGGCTCGGGCCCCAGGGCCCCGTGCGCCCCAGCTGGTGTTAGTGGCTCATGACACCGTGCCCCTGGCTCCTGGGTCCTCGGCGGTTCAGTGCAGGCTCTGTCTGGCCGTTGCTCGGACCCCAGCCAGTTGCAAATCGTTGCTGAAACCAGGGGCGCGGTGCGAGCCTGGCCCAATGCTGCGCCAGCTAGCGGCTGCTACCGAGCGGCTGGGCTGGCGGCAGCACGTCTCCGGGGAGGGGGAGGCTGCCCTTGCCGCTGCTGCTGCCGCTATGGAGGCGGAGGCGGGGGGATACTTGTTCGAGTGCGACGGGCACAGGATCCACCGTGCAGGGCCTTTCCTGTACTGTGGCCGCTGTGGGGCCCGAGTGGCTTTGGGGTCTCCCAAGTTGGAGGCCCTTGGAGCCCCGTGCCCGCCGGCACCCCCGAACCCAGCCCGTCGGCGAGCCAGGGGTTGGCTTGCCGAGGGCAAACATCCAGCGTCAGGCGTTCCTTTCTGACTTGTGATGCGGGGGGGAGGCCTGTCGGGTGCCGCCCAGTTCGCCTGAGCTGGGTTGGTGCCGTCAAAACATCGATGGCCTCCCTCCGCACCGTGTAGCAATTATCGGTCGAATGCTTCCGGCCTGGAGTGCTGGTGATTTATCACGCTCCCCCGTTTCATTTTATATAGTCGCCGTCGCGTTCCCGGATGCTTCGACGTTCTATGCTGCGTCCTGCGTCCTCCTCCTCTACCTCCTCCTCTACCTCCTCCTCCTCCTCCTCCTCCTCCCCCTCCTCCTCCTCCTCCTCTCACTCCTCCTCCTCCATCCTCCTCCTCCTCCTCCTCCTCCTCCTCCTCCCCTCCTCCTTCCTCCTCCTCCTCCTCCTCCTCCTCCTTCTCCTACCTCCTCCTCCACCTCCTCCTCCTCCTCCTCCTCCTCCTCCTCTCCTGGTAAGGAATGGAGGGAGGGGGTATGTCAGATATGAAGCTAACGCACCTAGCTTGTGCCCCTACCCCTCTCTCCCCCCCCCCTCACCCCCCCCCCCCCCCTCACCATCACCTCTCCCCCTCTCACCACCACCACCCCTTTTTCATCCTTACTTCCCATCATGAAACAACCCCACATCCCCACCTAGCCGGCCGATAACAACCCTGCCGTTCAAACTGCCAAAAAGAACAACACAAACTCGACTGCTTCTTCGCCAACATGACGTCGAGTTGCGGAAAATACAACAGGAATGGGACGGAATGAACATCGCTCGGGTAACCCTAAGCTGACGGTCGCGCCCTACCCATCATAAACAAAAATACACAGTAAACGTCTTTCTCGTCAACATGATTGTTCGTGTCGTCGGCGCTGCGAAAGGTGTAGCAGGAACGGGACGCGGCGCACATCGCGCGCGGACGCCTGGCCAACCCTACGCGGGACCCCCCGTCCGACCTGCCAAAAAGCACAGCAACGTCGACGTCTTTTTTGCCAAAATGTACTTTCTCCTCGTCGGCGCTGCGAATCGCGCAGCGGGAATGGGACGCGGCGCGCATCGCGCGGGGGCGCCTGCCCGTCAACATGGACTTTCTTGTCGTCGACGCTGCGGCCCGTCGGGTTGAGGAGTCGGGCGGGCGGCAAGTCAGCATGCCTCAAGCAAGCGCGGTTCAAGCAAGTGCCTCGGGAGACCCCCAAGAGGTCGAAAAAAAGGCGTCCAGGAGGTCCTGGGGGGGCAACACAAATATTGATTTTCACTTTGTTGTTCGAAGGATCTTGAGGTTAGCACCTACTTGGGTTGGCAATGTTCCAGCCTGGAAGAAATATCCAAGAGGCCCTCAGGCGCATACCAGAGAGATCCCAGGACGCCCGGCGAACGCCCAAGAGGCATGCTCCTCTTCCCCCTCAGTTTCTCCTTCCCTCCCTCTCTCCCTCCCCTCCTCCTCCTCCTCCTCCAGCCTCCTCTCTCCTCTCCTCCCCTCCTCCTCCCCTCCTCCCTCCTCCTCCTCGCTCCTCCTCCTCCTGCTCCTCCTCCTCCTGCTCCTCCTCCTCCTCCTCCTCCATTCCTCCCTCCTCCATTCCTCCCTCCTCCATTCCTCCTCCTCCATTCCTCCTGCTCCTCCTCCTCTTCCTCCTCCTCCTCCTCCTCCCCTTCCTCCTCCCCTTCCTCCTCCTCCTTCTCCTCCTTCTCCTCCTTACGGGCAAGGGTGGCACGTCTGGTGGAGTCGCCGTGTTGGCTCCATCTCGGGTCCTGGTATCCGATCCGCCCAAGCCTATCACGGGGAATGTGGTCCCAGGGCGCGTTGTGGCTGCCAAGCTGCATTGGGGCCGACCTTGAGGTATCGTGATGCTGAATGCGTATCTGGAAGTTGTTATCGGGCTGAAGGGTGCGAACGTTGAGACCCTGGAGGCCATTGTTTCGGTGCTGCAGATGATCAACGTGCTCGGCATCAGTCGGTTGGTAGGTGGTGATTGGGATACTGATGCTCCTGAGTTGGACAATTGGATTCACGCAGTACGAGGTGTTCGTGTTGCCAGCAGGCAGAGACTTCTTCTATGTCGCCGAGCACATGATCCCTCATGGTGGTGTGCTGTGTGATATCGAGGATGTACATGTTTTTCCGCATCGTCATGTGTCCTTGCCCGTCGCTGCCGTCCCACGGAGCATGTGCTGTGGTGTTCCTGGTGGGCCCGGGGTCTTTCCTGTGGAACTGAAGGTCGGCGTGGCAGAGACCCCCTTTGTGCGTGAGTGGGGGCAGGTCAGCTGAGGCATCTCTGCTTCTGCGACTGCCGATGAGCTCGATGTCTGTTGGAATGCTGTTATCTTGTGTGTGGAAGCTGAAATTTGGGACAGGAGCGACATCCTTGAGCGCCACGCCCTCATGCTGCTGCACTGTTAGCGCTGGGCCTGCTCAGTATGAGTGGAGCGATGCGAAGCAGCCCAGCCCCAGCAAGCCCACGAAGCTCGCGGCATGAAAGGTTGCCTCTCGTTCACACGTTCGACAAGCTAGAGTTCGTATGGCCCACATTGCTTCTACACTGGACTTTGATGGCAACAGCGTGAAGGTGACAACCTTTCCAAGCATCTGTACTTCTCCCTTGGGTCCGCACGTCGAATGCGAAAGTGTGAGTGGATGTTGCAGTTGGTTTCTGTGAGAGCCTGCGGCTTCTCGAATGACCTGGTGACGGGGCTTATTTTGCATGATTTCGACACGGTTATGCAGGACATGGTCGACGAGGCCCAGCAGCAAGTCAATGAGTGTGTGTGTGTGTGCGTGTCGAATGTCGAGTGGAATGTGTGGGCCGAGAAAGCGTTTGAATCGGGTGCTCGTGTTGCCCATCGGTTTCCACGGCTGAAGGAGTTGCAAGAGATACTTGCAGATACCAACAGACCCCAGCCGTTCCAGCGTGCCGGTGACTGTTTGAATGGTTGGAACACTATTTCGTCTATTCACGGTTGTTCTGCAGTCAAGCTACCAATTGGTTCAAAGGATTGGCAACTGCTACCTCCCATCATTGGCGCTGACGTTTCGATGGTGGCAAGGAGTTTCTCGGCCAAGACTGCGCTTGGACAGATGTCGCTGAAACCCGGCTCCCTCGAGGCGGTGTTCGAAATCGGCCTCGACGTGCTGGCGGAGTTGTTCATGAGGTGTGAAGCCTTGCTCAAATGGCCTCGTGACCGCATCCAGACCCGCCTGGTCCGCTTGGGGAAACTCTTAGGCGGGCACAGGCTGATCGCATTGCTCAACTCTGATCAGGTTGCGGGGCCGTCTGCGTCGGCCAGTTCCGCAGGAATGGGACCTTTCCCATCGCCATCGGGCCTTTTGGGGGAACGCCCCTGCGAGGAGCTCCTCAGACGCCGATCACAACGTGTCGGCGGGGTCGGCAGTTGCTGTGGGTGAATATTAGTTTAGCGTGTTCCTCGAAATATGTAAATGCTATGAGTGCATCATTTCAGGCCGCCTGCTGACCGAGGCCCAGATGCTAGGGTATCCCGTGAGCATGGTGTGGATGTTGTTGTGCTCGTGACGCTTATCTCGCTTGGTCCAGGCGTTTGGTTCGGTTTCGCGTTATGCGATTTCAAACCAAGGGGCCCCAGCGGGCTGCGCCCATGCAAACACTATGATGCACTTTCTGTTGCACAGAGTGGTGCCCAAGATGTGCCGCATCTCTCGGACCGCACAGCGGGTCCTCATGGGCGACTCTTGCTTCAAGTGGGTCGGGAAGAGACTCGCCGAATGCAATGTGCTCTTGACTGCGGTGCGATAATGTTACGAGCAAGTTTGTGACCTGGACCTGATATCGCAGGCCTTGAGGAGTGGGTTTGCGGCTACTGCCGCGAAAGCGTCGTCGAGAATGTCGTTGTCTGATCGCGCCCTGAAGGTGCGTAGCCACATCCACATGCGGAGTTCAGGGCATGAGGTTTGTTGTTTCAGGTCGGCCCGACAGAATGATGGAGCGGACCAGGCTAAACAAGATGTCGTGTCGGCGAGGCAAGATCGCTGCCCTGAGGCGCGGTGCGCCGGGGAAGGTTCACGCGCTCTGGAGGGCGGGCTTTATTCCTGCTGCTGGCCACGGGGCGGGGATTAGTGCGCTGTCGGGCCCGACGGTGATGAAGTTGCAGTCTATTCCGGGGACTTTAGTGGGCGCGAAGCGGACTAGATCCCTGACATCTTGGTTCGCTACACAGACTGGCTCCCTGTATGACCCCATTTGGGATGCCACCGCCTCCCTAATTCAAAGATGTGCAAGGCTGCTGTGGGACGCCGGGTTGGCGAGGGCCTGGGCGGCCATGCAAGACAAGCTTGCTGTGCGGGCCACGTGGAACGATTCCCGAGGCCCGATCGGTGATGTGCTTTTTATCGCTTCGCCGTGTCAATTGGGATATGGTCGCAGCTCGCGTCGTTGTCACAGATGAAGGCGTGGCCCTTGACCTTCTGCAGTCGGCGCCGCATGGCATTCATATTGAGCTGCGTGCTGGTATCCAGAGGTTCAGGAGGGAACACACACAGACACAAAGTGATCTTCGAATCCTGGAACAATGTGAAGATATGGGAAGTGGGGGCGAAGGCGAAAACCGAGGAAATATGGGGAATCCTCCTCCTCCTCCTCCTCCTCCTCCTCCTCAGAGGTTGCAGGCTCGCAGAGTGATTGCCGATCTCCCCGTCGATGCCAATGCTAAGCCATGGCTTCGCTGCGCTCGCAGTGCTGTCCTTCGGGTTCGTGCGCACGCGAGGCGAGGGGCCCTCCGCTGCCTGATTTGAAGTCGGGCGTGTCCCTCTAAGGGATATTCGAACAGAGCTAAGCATTGTATGGGGACGATTGTTTGGCTGATCATTTCTGATATTTTGTTTTTTATGTTTCATTTGTTGCCCAACATTCCCCTGTAGGGGGACAGGCCCGACCCAAGCCTAGTGGGAGGAGCCATGTGGCCACCCACCCGCAAGTCTGCTGCCGGCTACGCCGACAACGATCGGTTCCAGCTTTGCTTGCAGGATGCTCCTGGGTCGCTCGGCCAACATATATACGACTGTGAGTCTGTTTTGGAGCATCTGAGGTCTCGGGACCAAGTTCCCGAGGGCACCCTGGAGCGCAGGTCGAAACTTGGGGACCAGGGGGGGTTCGAGGATGGCGTCCAGGTCGGTGATTATGATGAGGTCCTTTATGTGCTCCCGCCTGTTCCGTGCCAGGCGAACCCCGTTTTTCCGAGTCGCTCCCTGTGCACTCCTGGGGGGCGACCGAAGTGCGTTGGGAGGGGCCTGGCGGAATCTAGTCCTGGACCGGCGGTGTCTAGTCCTGAACCGTGTAGGTGTGGATGGGCCGCGGTGGGGCTGGCCCCCAGTGGGCGCCCAGTGTCTGCGGCGCCCCCCTTGGTGGGCACCAGCCGGTGCCTCGGGCCGATCGGCATGCTATCTACCAGGCGCTTCGTGTTGGCCCCTTGGATGCTCGGATTGCTTCGGATGGCCCCTATGTTGTGATTCGTGGGTTTTTCAGCTGGCCGCGAGTGAGGCCAAGCATACGTGTGTCTGGCGAATGGCGTTCGCTCTCGACAACTGTGTTAGGCTCCACCCCAGTTTCAAGTGGCCCCCCTCCCACCGCGCATGGGACGAGGTTCTTGATCTCGAAGCTTCGGAGGTAACTGAGTGTCGCTGCAATTAGTGGTCTGATTTTTTCGCCCGCCTTGGGTCAGAGTCCCATGCGGTCGCGAACGCTCCTGTTGAGCATGAGGCTGTCTGTATGAAGTCTACGCGTCTGACCTTCGATTTCCTGGCCAGGTTCTCGCAATCGATCGCCGCGTTGGCTCAAGAGTCCTCGATCTCGCCCGGCCCTGCTACGGGCGCCGTTTCCAGGAAGGTTGCCAAGGACCCCCTGGCCCTGACGTAGCACACGTTGTTCCAGTTTCCCAGTCGTGGTGAGTGGCGCTGCAGTGTATGTGACTTGTATGCCGTCACGCCCGCCTCCCACGCCCAACCCATAACGGGCAACAGGAAGGTTTGCGGGTCGTCCACATACCAGCGTTGGCAGGCCCGTGCTGTTCTCGCGGGCAGGGGTGAGGATCCCGTCCCGCTTTCGACCAGGGGGGGCGTCCCTTGCCATGAATGCTGCGGACGAGGTCCTGGGGCCAATGTCTGAGGCCAGAGTCGCCCCCCGCCTCCATGTTGCAAGACAGGTGCAGGACCCTGGGGCACCAAATGGAGCAGCCTGGGCTTGTCCTGTTTTGCCCCCCCCCCCCCCTGCGCTTCGCACACGTCTCTCCCTGGAGGTCATCTGCGGGGCTTCAGTGCGAAGTGTAGCGGTCGGTCCGAGCACCCCTCTACCACCTACCAAGAGTAGTCTACCCAGAGTAGTCAGTCACCCCTCTACCAAGAGCACCCCACTACCAAGAGTAGCAAGGCCCTGGATTCTTTTTAAGTTGTGGAGGGGGGCCCTGTCGGTCTGAGGCCAGGCTCAGCGACACTTGCGCTGTTGGGCCTAAAACTGATGGGCCCCCTCCTTACTGCCGTACCCATTGTTTGATGCAATATACTTGACGGCTGATTCGGTCCCTCGTAGCCGGGCGGTTGCGATTCGTTCCCGCTTTGATTGTTTGCTCGCTCGTCCTTCTCCTCCTCCTCCTCCTCGTCCTCGTCCTCGTCCTCATCCTTCTCCTCCTCCTTCTCATCCGCCTCCTCTTCCTCTCCCATCCCCCTCCTCATCCTCCTCCTTCTTCTCCTCCTCCTCCTCCTCCTCTCCAGGGGCTGCAGCTGTAATGGCGACGACTGGGCCAACGGTGCCGACGACGCTGACAACGCCGACGACAACGTGCCAAGGACGCGACAATAGCGCCGTCGACGTCTGCGTTGCGGAGGTTCTTGGGCATTTCTGGAGGCCCTCGTCGCCGCGGCTGGACGCGGGTCGAACACCTGTCCCAGAACGTCCAGGGACCAATTCTGACAGCATTCTTGGTCCGACGCAGGGCGCGGTGGCGGGGGCATCGAAGGGAGGACGACGACGAGGATGAAAAAAGAAGGAGGATGGAGGAAAAGGAACGCGGAGGAGGATGATGAGGAGGAGTGGAGCGGAGGAGGAAACAGGAGGAGGAGGAGGAGGAGGAGGAGGAGAAGGAGGAGGGAGGAGGAGGAGAAGGAGGGAGGAGGAGGAGGAGGGAGGAGGAGGAGGAGGAATGGAGCGGAGGAGGGAGGACGGGGAGGGAAGGAGAGAAGAGGGGGAAGCGCCCGGAAGGAGGAGCGATGAGGAAGGATCACATGCCTCGCACGCATGGGAAAAACAATCTAGAGTCAGCATCGCCGTGTTCGATCTTTCGGGGAATTTCTGGGCCGCTGGGCCATCAAGCACTGTCCACTGACAAACGTATGGCCCCAGAGAAGGAGCCAGATGTCTGAGGTCCTTAGCTGCCTCGATACGCCCGTTACGATGCGCAACACTCACCGTGCTCAAAACGTCCGTGTCGATACGTTGCGTGCAGGCTCGTGCGTGTTGGCTCGTTGTCTCGCCACGGACTACGTTTTCAGGTTACGAATTGAGCTCCGTGTCAACACGCTACGTGTTGCGTGTTGCGTATCGGTGCAGCTCAGACTGTTCGCTGACAAACGCACGGCCCCAGAGAAGGCGGCCAGAGGTCGGAGGTCGGACGGTCCGGACGTGTCTGGGCACCCCGGATCCAGAGCAGAGTACTTCGGCGTGGTGTACCCTCCCGGGGCATCCTGGAGGCCTCTCGCCCCCACGGAACTCGGCTCGCCTCGGAACATCTCGATTCCAACCGCATTTGCTGGCGAGAGCGAGGGTTAAGTCGGGCATGTCCCTCTCCAGGGCGAATATTTGGAAATAGTCGGCAACAGTACGGGGACGATGTTTGCAGTATTTGTTTGAATCTGTTGGGGTCATTGATTTTTGTACGTTTAGCATTTCGCCTAAAATCCGCTGTGGGGGGACAGGCTTGACCCAAGACTAGGGGCCAGATTCCCGACGCCGTGTCTTGTTCGATCCCAGCGTTTTATCCTCGACCTCAGCTTCGGGAGGCATGTTTCGGGCTCGGGAGTTGCGATGCTTTACTTGAGACTCGAGCCAAGTCTCCAGGTAAGGGGCCTTAATGTCTAGGGATCCCACATTAAGAAAAACAAGACGTCGGAGGTCGAAGTTGGGGGCTTGGGGGCGAGCGGAAGGACGATGGCCCCGCTTCCTTCCTCCTCCACCACGCCTCCCTCTCAATCCCTCCTCCATCTTCCAGCCCTTCCTTGTTTCCTTCCTCCTCCTCCCTGTCCTCCTTTTCCCCTTCCTCGTCGCCGACTTCCTCCTGCTCGTTGCCCTGCTTGTCGTCGTCGTCGCCCTCTCCTTCTCCTTCTCCTCCTTCTCCTTCTCCCTGGCCCGTCCCCCCCTCCTCCCACTCCTTCCTCTCCTCCGTAGCACTGACTCAAGCACAAGCGATCCGAGGCATGCCCATAGCCCCGTTGCCATCCCTTTCTGGCGCTTGGGGCGGTTCTTCGTCGTCACACCCCAGCGCCGCAGCGAGGCGTGCTTGTGTACACCTCAACTTCAAGCCGTGTGTTGCGTCAATGGGGGTTTGCGAAGAGCTTGGCGAACGTGAAAGGTAAGGCAGCTATTTTATTGCCGCGAGCCTTTCATTGTACGCATCGCGTTCCTGGTTTCGTTCGCGACTCGCATGCGGGGTCTCATCACGTTCCTCGCCATCTTGTGTATGTAATGGTTCGTCTCGGTTTGCGGGGTCCATGGGGGGAGAAGCTGTCACGCAGCCCGAGCGTATTGTTTCAGCATGCTGCTAGGATGTCGTGGGTCAAACATCGTTTGTTCGGCGGGTGTGCTGCGTTTTCTGTAGGTCTATACGGGCTCCGCGTGCGACATGGTGGAGTTGCGGTCGGTGTGCTCAGTCGCGGCAGCTTTGGTCCAGCAGTCCCTTCACGGGTTTTCATTTGGTGATGGCATGCGTCGTGCATGGGTTCCCTTATTGATACCAAGGCGCCCTTATCGCGAGCGTATGTTTGTGTCTCTCCGCCTCGCCGGATTACCGAGCATGCAGTAGTGGTGAAGATTTGTTGTGCAATTCGTACCTACCGAGGAACCTGCGTCATTTGCAAGCTTGGTGAAGGATACATGTGAACTTCTACTACAGTGGTGTTTGTTCACGTGGTGGTCAGTGGTTGTTGTTTCGAACGGCTGATCTGTCGTATGATCATGCTCACGTATGCCCCTCCACCTCCTCCTCCTCCTCCTCCTCCTCCTCCTGATTCCTCCCTCCATCCCTCCCTGGGTCTTCCTCCCCTGGCCCGAAGTTGCGAACACGAACCATCTCGAACCTCGTCGTCGGCGTCGTCTTCGTCCGGCCTCCTCATCGTCGCCCTCCGCCCTCATCATCCTCAGCCTCCCCGCCGTTGTCCTCCCCATCCCCCTCATCGTCGTCCTCCACCCCCCAGCGTCGTCGTCCTCCTCGTCCTCGAACCTCGCCATCCTCGTCCTCGAATCGTCGGCGGGCCTCGTGCCGGTGAGCACGGGCCTGCCGCAGGCCCCGTGCCCCCCTGGCCCCGCCGCGGACCCCTTGCCCGAGGCACGCAGGTGCCTCTCCCTTCCGCCTGGCAGCGGTGAGGTGGTCCTGGCCTTCGGGCTCCACTGTCATTGGTGCTGGGGGGTGGGCGTTGGTGCTCGGGTGCCTCACGCCCGTCTGACTCTGGATCCTGCTGCCCCTCGGCTTCCGCTCGCTCGCCTCGTCCTCGGACCTCGGACCTCGGACATCGTCGGCGTCCTCCTCCGCCCTCCTCGGCTCCCCTGCCCGAGCCGGCCCCCAGGCGAGCCCCAGGCCGCTGGCCCGCACGGCGACCAGTGCCTCTCGGCCCGCTCCCCGGGCCGCCGGCGATCGGAGGAGAGGGGGGAGGGGGCAGCAGGAGGGAGGAGGGGGAGGAGGAGATTGAGGATCGGGGGCGAGGAAGGAGCAGGAAGGAGAAGCGAGATGAAGGGAGGAGGAGGAAGATCACGGAGGAGTGAGAGGAAGACGAGGGGAAGAGGAGGTGACGAGGAGGAAGAGGAGGAGGGGGAGGGGTAGGAGAGGAGGGAGAGGAGGAGGTGGAGGAGGAGGAGGAGGACGACGAGGAGGAGGAGGAGGACGAGGACGAGAGGAGGAGGAGGGGGAGGAAGCCCCCCCCTAAGATGCACTTCGCTGCCGTGCGCAGGCAGCACGCCCATCACCCCGATCTCGTCGTCGTCGCCGCCGCCATCGTCTACGTCGATTCATGGTGATTCGAGCTTCTATATAGGCTCGAGGTTCAAGGTTCGAGGACAGGTTTGGCCCAGTGTGGGTCTCCTGGGGCGCCGTCGTGGCCGCGGCTGGATCCGCTTCAAGATTCGGGCTAGAACGCGCCCCAGGAGGGGTTGGAGAAATTTTGTCGCCGTCGCCCGTCGTCATCCGTCGTCCTCGCCCTCGTCGGTGCCCCGGCAGTTCAGGTCACCGATGCCATGCCCATCGCTCCGGCCTCGCCGCCGAGGCTGGCGTCGCCGCCGTCGCTGCCGTCGTCCACGCTGTCCTCGCGGTCGCAGTCGCCGTTGCCGCCGTCGTCGTCGCTGTCGCCGTTGGCGTCCTTGTCCTGGCCGCCACCCAGGTCGCCGACGGCATGCCCATCACTCCGATCTGCGGCATGACCAGCCCGTCCGGCGGCGCCTCCACAGAGGAGGGGGCCACCCTGCTGGAGGTAGGGAGGGGTGGCTTTACTGGAGGGCGGTATTTTGAGTCGGGCAGGTCCCCCTACAGGCGGAATATTCAAAGTAGTCCGAAAATAGTTTGGGGACGACGTGTTGACAATGTTCGGCCACCTGTGAATATGTTTTGATTACGTTTCGTGTTTCCCAAATCCGCCTGCACGAAGACGTGCCCGACCTAATGTTAGGGAGGGGTGGTTTCACTGGAAGGCGGAAGGCTTCTGTGGAGCTTCCTTGGAGGTTTCCGCGTCCAGCCCCATCCCCGTCTCGAAGAAGCCCCGTGCTTGTTCTCAGAAGGCCTTCCCCTCGCCGCGACCCCTACTGGAGCGCCGCCACTGGGGAGGAGCACGAGGAGGAGGAGGAGGAGGAGGAGGAGGAGGAGGATATCTTGCCTGTTGTTGTCCCTCCTCAACATCGGTGGCAGGCATTGTTATTTCGTATCTATTGGGCACTCTGCTTTTCCTTTTTCTGTGTAAAAAAACTGATCCGCACGAGCCTGCCGCCTACCTTGCGCACACCACCGAGTGAAGCTGGCATTTGTATGGCATCAATTGCCACCCGAACGCTCCGTGCTCTAGCATGAAGTCCGATCATAATCAAGAAGGAGGAGCTTATCGTGTTTGGTGTCAACGACTACTGGCTCGTCGGGAGCCTTCTGGCGGGACCGTTGTCCCGAAGGGCCGCTGGGAGTACGGATGCTGGCCCAAAGCCCAATTGGATGGAGGCAGAAGTTTGCTTGTCGCATGTCGGCTCGTGTGGTGCTCCGGCGCGTGGACTGCAATCGTCCACACGTGTCTCGCCAACGCGTTGGTTTATCAAAGTGCGTCGGACCAAAATCTATATATATCCCCCCTTTCCCCCAAGTTCGAAGTAGACGGGTTTGGGCGGTAGGCCAAAGGCCAGGGACAAGATGTGGACACGTCAACATAGGGTTGGGGGGCGAGGGGTGCGAAGCAAGGGCATTTCGCAGTTGTGTTTTGGTTATCATGTTGCATCGCTCACCGCCTTGGGTGTGGACACTTTTTGTCTGGGCACCGTCCCGATTTGCCTGGCGACCTTATCATTCGCACAGCGGTCGAGGCCGAGCGGGATGAAGTTTTGTGGTCGTGCTCCCTCCTGCGCGAAGATGATTGACAGAGGAAGGAGGGAGGAGGAACGCGGGGGATCTTGCTCCCTGCTTGGGAAAAAAGGGAGGAAGGAGGGAGGAGGAGCGCGGAGGATGGTCCGATGCTCACTTGGCGGGAGGAAGGAGGGAGGAGGAGCGCGGGGAATGTTGCGTTTTTGTCTGGGAAGGTGTGTGTGTGTGTGTGTGCGTGTGCTGTGTGTGCGTGTGCGTGTGCGTGTGCGTGTGTGTGTGTGTGTGTGTGTGTGTTGTGTGTGTGTGTGTGTGTGTGTGTGTGTGTGTGTGTGTGTGTGTGTGTGTGTGGTGTGTGTGTGTGTGTGTGTGTGTGTGTGTGTGTGTGTGTGTGTGTGTGTGTGTGTGTGTGTGTGTGTGTGGGGGGGGGGGGGGGGGCATCTCAGGGGCGGCCGTCGCCACGTCCAGATGCGCCTCGACATCTTGGGCAGGAGGTGCGCCGCGGGAGGTCCCAGGGCTGCGTACGGTCGGGCCGAGGCGTGGGATCGAGGCCGGTTCGGGGAGGGCTCCCCAGTGTTAGCTCGGGCCTGTCCCCCTGCAGGGGGATCTTTGGACGACAAGTTCACAACACCCCAAACATATGCAGAAGATGCCCACGAATAGTCAGAACATAGTCCCCAGACTAGTTTGTTGACTGTTTTTGGCTATCCCCCCTGTAGGGGGGACGGGCCCGACACTTCGCCCTGGTGCTCTTCGTGCTGGTCCGGGCAGGCCTTGCCTTGCAGGTCGGAGGTCGTCGCCCGCAGGTGCGTGGGGCACCGGGGGGGGGGGGGCGGGGGGCGGTCGGGCCGAGGTGGAAGGTCGAGGCCGGTGCGGCGGAGGGTTGCCGAATGTGCATTGTTGGATGCTCCTGGTGCATCCCGGGAGGGGGTGCCCTCGAGCGATCTCGTGGTTCGAGGCGTTGTGGTCGGCGGAGGGTCTCATGGTCGTGGAGGCTGTTGTTCTTTCAGTGGTGGGCGATCAATGGAGGTGGGGGGGAGAGAGGTGCACTTCTCGGGCCTTCAGGGGCCCTGAAGGGCCCCTTTTCTACAGTCCTCGCTGCCCCCTCACTTAACGCTCTCCCACTACGCGCCCCCCAAGGGATGAGGCGGAGGACGGCGGGGGGTTGGGGGAGGCCCCGGGGAATATCAGGTGCAGTACAGGCGCCATCAGACAGGAGACCGGGCTGCCAGCGGAGAGTCACCCCAGGGGGGCTCCTCATCATGGCTCCGGTGTCGGCGAGGCTCCCTCGGGACGCCCGCCTGGTGGCAGGATGCGCTTCCCGTGCGTGTTCCACGGCGCCGGGAGGTCAGAGCCCCGCGCGCGTGCAGGAGCGCGCGGGCGTTGGGTCGGGAGCCGGAAGGTGGGAGGGGGTCGGGCTCGGCGCTGCCGCAGTCTGCGCCCCGTTCGGGAAGGCGAGGGAGGAGGGAGGGAGCATGCAGCATGCAGGGGGATGGAGGGTGGAGGACGACGGCAGGCAGGAGTGACGAAGGACGACGACGACGGGCAGGGGGTGCGCAGGAGGATCGAGGTGCAGAAAGGGAAAAGGTAGCAGGAGGGTGGATGAGGACGACGACAGCGACTGCGTTCTCGTCGACGACGAGCACGACGAGCTCTCGGCATCGGGGCCAGGAGGAGCTCGCCAAGCTGCGTTACCGCATAGAGTGCCTGGAGAGGAGGCTGCACCAGCCCGACGCGGAGTCATTCGGGAGGGGGGTCGTTGTCGTCCTCCTCACGCTGTTTATCTGAATTACCCTTCCTCCCCCACCTCCTCCTTTCTGCACCTTTTTCCTCCTGCTTTACCCCCCTCTTCTTCCTCCTATCCCACTTCCGACCTTTCCCTCGCCCTCACACCTTCCCACCTCGCTCTCTGCACTCCCTTTTCCCCTCATCCGTCTCCGCCTCCTCTCTCCCTCCACCTTCGCCTCCCCGCTCCCCTCCACCTGCTCCGCCTCCCGGTGCCAATCCCAGACAGTGCCCAAGGCTGAGATCACCGCCTTTGACCTGGCAGTGAGAGGTTCAACAGGAGCGCTGGTTTTCGCGACAGCTCGTGACGAGGCCAGCAGGGTTTCGTGGTCGCAGCTTTACCAACATTCCGGAGGTAAGCAGTCGGCGCTGCGAAGTCTCATTGGCTAGCACGTGCATGAGCAGCGACGACTGCCGGTTGAAGACAGATTGATGAAAGTACTGCCACACGTAGAGGCGGAGGAGGCATGTGCTAGAGACTTGCACAGATGCATGGTCCACGGCTCTACAATTGTTGACCATATGGCAGGTGAAGTGGCGAATGCCGCACGAGTCAGCGAGGTCGAACGACATCGAGCGGCGATAGTGGATCGTGAGGCTTCGCTGGTGCGGCGGCTGCTACTATTCAGTCGGGCATGCCCCTTTACAGGAGGAGTACAGAAGGAGTGCCCAACCATAGTGAAAGCATAGACTGGTGACACAGTTTCGACTATGCTTGATTTTCTGTTTTTGCAGAGTTTTGTTATTTTATGTTTCTTCCAAAGTCTGCCCGTAGAAGGACATGCCCGGCGTAAGTGAAGCGGAGAGCGCCGCACGAGTTAGCGAGGTCGAACGACATGGAGCGGCGATAGTGGAGCGTGAGGCTTCGCTGAAGCGGCAGCTGCTATTATTAAGTCGGGCATGCCCTTCTACAGGAGGAATGTTCACAAATAGTCAAACAATTGTCTTGGGGCGACGTTTCGACTATTTTTGGTTATGTTCGAGCACCTGTTGATTTTATGCTTCTTCCAAAATCCGCCTGCCGAAGGACATGCCCGACCTAAGTGAAGCGGCGAGCGCCGCACGAGTCGGCGAGGTCGAACGACATGGAGCGGCGATGGTGGAACGTGAGACTTCGCTGGTGAGGCGGCTGCTGCTCTTGAGTCGGGCATGCCCCTTTACTCGAGGAGCACAGGAGGAACATACAAGCGTAGCCAACACATAGTCTGGGGACGATGTTTCGATTCTTTCTGGCTATGTTTGAGCACCTGATGATTTGTGTGTATGCTTCTTCCAGCATTCGCCCGTAGAAGGAGATGCCCGAACTTAGTGAAGCGGCGAGCACCGCAGGAGCCAGCGAGGTCGAACGACATGGGGCGGCGATGGTGGAGCGTGAGGCTTCGCCGGTGCGGCGGCTGCTACTATGAAGTCGGGCATGCCCCCCGACAGGCAGAATGCAGGGGGAATGTCCAAACGTACAGGCGGCCCGGACGAGTAGGTCGACCCTGCCAGATCAAGGGCACCCTCGTGTCCTGTCTCTGGCGACCCATGCCTCCTGCATTTCTGTGGCAGCGTGGCCCTCGGAAGGGTCTTGTGTCCTCTCGAGTGTCCTCTCCAATCAAGTCCGACTGTAGTCAGAACATCAGAGGGGGAGGAGGAGGACGAGGCGGAGGAGGAGGAAGAAGGAGGAGGACAGCAGGAGGAATGCAGCGCGCGATGCTTCGCTGGTGCGGCGGCTGCTGCCGCGAGTGGCGCGCCTGCTTTGCGCAGCCCCTGGGTCTCCTTTCAGCGCCCTTCTCTGTCGCCTTGGGAAGGGCTTGCGGGCCGGAGGTCGTCGCCCGACGACGGCGTCGCCTCTCTCAAGCAGCAGGTTCGCGTGGCACAGGAGGGGCTGGGGTACGGTCGGACCGAGGTAGTAGGTCGAGGTCGGTTCCGGAAGGGTACCCTCCTATTCTTCGTGTTTGTTGGATGTTCATGTGCATCCTGGAGGAGGGTACCCTCAGTGCTCTTATGGTCGGCGAATGGTCTCATGCTCTTGGAGGATGTGTTGTCTGTTCTTGGTCCAGCCGTGGAGGAAGGCGCATGGTGGAGATGGGCTCAGTGCTCGAGATCGGTTCTGCGCCCTTCGTTTGCATTGAAGGGGTCTCGCGGATGCTGTAAGTCTTCTGCGGAACTTGACATCCGACCTCGGTGTATGGCCGGGACCTGGTTCTGTGTTATGCGTTCTTGATGTCGGTGGGACTTGTCGGGTAACGCCCGCCAAGTTCGGAAAGCGGCCAGGTGCCCAGTTTCCTGGGATCCTGGTGTCTATATCTCGGTGGCAGTTTCCGGCTGGATCCGGCGGGCGATGGGGCTCCCAGAGCAGAGGGTAGAGGATTCCGCGCGAATCTGACAGCAGTAGTGAGAGAGAGAGTGGAAATTGGCAGTATGTGTAGTAGGTATCAGGTCGGGTCGAAAGGGAATAGATGTTATAGGTGCAGAGCAGGAGTATTGCGGAGAGCGTGGCAAGCAGACCGTAGATGATTGAATGTTGCGTGGCTTGTTCCTCTAATTCTTCCTGTCAGTCTAGTTATCTCTCTTTCTCTCTCTCTCTCTCTCTCTCTCTCTCTCTCTTCGTCTCTTTCTTCTCTCTCACTCTCTCTCTCTCTGTCTCACTGTATCTCTCTCTCTCTTCTCCTTCTCTGTCTCACTCTCTGAGGTGAGTATGGATATGAACGTAGAGGTAGAAGGTGGATCGTAGAGGTTGCAGAGTAGAGATCAAATTGCACGTCGACTGATGTTGTTTCATGCCGTCCCGTGTGTCAGCGGGAGGCCCAGCTTAAGGAGGCCCTTGACGAGCTGCGGGATGCCAAGAGCCAATTGGGAGCGTTGTCCCAGCTAGTGAGGCTCCTCGGCGCCTTACAATATGCAGCATCGTGTTACGTGGTGAAAACAATTATTGTATCGTGTTTCTGCGTCGTGTCCTGCATGAGCCCTTGGCTGTGTCAGTAATGTTGGAGTTGTGGGCTTTCGTCGCTATCGCTTTTGACGCAGTCGTACGTTACTCCGTACGCTGTTTTCGGCCTCCCTCATGTAACGTGTGTTACTTGACTATCTTTTTGAAGGTGCCCGATCGAGATGACAGGATAGTAACCATATTCGGAGCACAGTCTGCTCAGTCTCTCGCTCCTCACCATCCTCCCCATCATCTTCCCACCAGTGAGTATCCTCTTCCGCCACCTCCTCCTTCCCCGCCACATCATCTCCTCCTGCTCCTGCTAACGCACCCCCATGTTTCCTTTCTTCATTGTCATCATCATCCTCCTTCTTGTCCTTCCCCCTTACCCCCACCGCCTCCTCCTGCTCCTCCTCCTTGATCTCCTCTTCCTGCCCAGTCCCCTCTCCCCGTCCTCTCCCTCACTCCTGCCCCCATCCTCAGGATATTCCTCATCCACCTGCCTTCCCCACCATGCTCCTCGTCTTTCTCCCCATCGTGCTCCTCTTCCCCCCCCTCCTCGTCCTCCTTCTTCTCCTTCTCCTTATCCCTCTCTTCATCATCACCGTCCGTGTCCAGAAATGTTATTCTCATTCTCAGCATCATTATCCTCTCTCTGTCTCTCCCTCGCCCCGCTCTTGCTGACAGACTTGTGGGATGGCCACGCATGCACAAACGATTGTGCGGCGGGTATTCACAATGGGCTTCCTATGGGGCTTTCCGTGGAGCTCCCTATGCGGCCACGATCCTCGTGAAGGGTGTGCCGAATTCTTGAGGTGCCGCCATGCGAACGCAGCCGTTGGGGCTCCCGATGGGGCCACGATCCTCCTGAGGAGTGTGTCGACATGGGTGCGGGCTCGCCATGCGAACTCAGCCGCTGGGGTCTTCGGTGGAGCTCCCTATGGGGCCATGAAGCGCGTGAGGGGTGCGCCGACATGGGGGCGGGTGAGCGGGGGGGGGCAGAGGCAAGGAGTGGAGCAAGTGAGGGGAAGGGGCGGGGGGGGCAGCGGGAGGGAACCAGACGCGGGGCGTTGTCCCTTCAAAGTGAGAACTCAACACCACATGATGCTTGAGTGAACACCTGATGCTTCTTTAAAGTGTTGTTTTGTCGCGTTTCGACAGCCACTAGTTCGGTTTCAGGTCTGAATCGTGCTCCAGGCGCATGTTAGATTAAAGCGGCGAGTGCCACCGCGTGTTGAGATGATAATGAGGATGCTAGACGAAATGAGTAATATTGTTTTCCTATGGTTCCAAGAAGTGCCCTCGGGCCAAAACCTGCAAGAGTGTTGCCGTCAACTTATGGTTCGTTGTATGGTTGTATGTTGGAACGACTGCAGAACGACGGTGTTCGATCTGATTTCGTAAGGTTCTCGCGCGTGTCGATTGTTTGATGTGTTGCACAAGGTTGTTTGGAAGTGCACCTGGTGTATATATATACAGTGCCCTGATGATGTTATGTGGCAGAGATCAGGGGATGGAGACCGGCTTGCTGGGATGGTGTGGTTTCATACGGACATCGAGCAGTGGGACGAATTCGCATGTACATATATACACACATCCAATACGCATGCACATGTGCAAATTGCAGTACTGCAGTACTGAAGTGTGGGTGGGTAAGTTTGGGTTCGGAATGGAGTGGACCCAGCCATCTTTCCAAAGGAGAATGTGCCCGCTTGCCTCTCGCGTGACCACCTCGGCAGCTCAAATGTTCGAGCAAGTCTCCCACCCACCCACCCGCAACTTGATGGCAGAATTCCGCGGGCGCAACGACGCGAGCGCCCCTTTCATGCAGATCCTTGACTCGGGCGGGCGAGTCATGATGATGATGAAGATGGTGGTGGTGATGGGGATGATGCTGATTTTTGATGGTGGCGGCGGTGGTGGTGGCGATGATGACGGGAGCGGCGACGACGACGATTACAATGACGATGGTAAGTTTGGTGACGGCATCGGGGGGTACTGACGGCGATGATGATGAGGATGATGATGACGACAGGGGTGGCAATGGTGACGATGATGATTGTGATGATGATGACGGTGCTGGTGTTGTTGGTGATGACGATGATGGTGTGATGCTGGTGGTCGTGATGATGATGCTGATGATGCTGATGATATTGATGAGGAGGAGGAGGAAGAGGATATAGATGATGAGGAAGAGGAGGAGGAGGAGCAGAAAAAAAGGACCCTGAGGATGGTTTTGGTGCTGGCGACGCTGGCGATGATGGCCCTTCCCCTCTACCCCGCCATTTCCATTGTCCCCCCCGTTCCCCTTCCTTTACCTGACCGCTCTTCCCCCTCTCACCTCGCTTCACCCTCCTCCTTATGACCCCCACCCGCCCTCACCGTCCTCTCTGCCCCCCTCTCCCCTCGTTCCCCCTCGCCCTTCTCTGCACTTGTTGATTCTGAGTAGTACTAGTATCCTTGTCGCCCACGCCCTGTGCGATCGAGACCCTGCCTCTCCCGTACGGCTCTTTTGCACACGGGATCCCCACCATTGTGTTGCAGATGTGGTGTTGCTCCATTGATTTCGGGGGAGCGTAAGACCCGGGTTTGCCAGGACTCGGGTTCGCCATCGTTTTTTGACGACCGCGACTCGGATTTTGACGAGGAGGAGTTTCGTGGGATGTCTGCAGCGGGAGGCCTCGTCAAAATGCAGGCTCGGCCTCGTCTTTTTATTGACGGCCTCGTCGGGGATTGCCGAGTCCCCTGTACCCGGGTCTTACGCCCCCCTGACAATTACGTTTCTGGCATTTCGACAGGGTGCTCCCGCTGCAGCGTTGGCCTCGTTCCAGGATCGGCGCCCTGCCGTGTTGTTCAAACAGGGCGCCCTCGGCCCGGCGCGCACCACTCTCCTGGCTCTGGTCTCTTCTGGTCGTTGTCGCCCCTCCTTTCCCCCCCATCCACCTTCCCTTGGTCCTCCAGCTGCGATCCTCCTGCTCCTGCTCGTCGTCCACTCCTCGTCCTTACAAATACCTCCTCCCCGACGCACCCTGAGGCCAGTCGGCAGGGCGTCTCGCCTGAATCTCCCTTATCATTTAAAAGCTTACATCACACCTTCACAAAAGGAGGGCGACCCGCGTCCGAAATATGGCTCTCGTCCTAGCGCCGGGCACATTCATTAAACACACAATAGCTACGCGGATTGAGGGCGGCCCGTTTTTTAAATGTGATTCTCGCCTTAGCGCCGCGCACATTTGTTTACAACACTGCCAGAATTTCACGGATTGAGTGCGGACCGTCTTCAAATGTGGTTCTCGTTTTAGCGCCGCGCTTTGTCGTTTAAAAGAGTTGCAGGACTTTCAAAGACTCGCATGGCTTACGTCCCAGAAGTGGTATTTGGGAGAATTGTCGGATTGTCAGGGCGCAACAGATACGCTGGGTCTTCGTTTTGAAGTCCCAGGTCTGGTGTTCTGGCACGATGCAGGGTCGTCAAGACGCAACAGTAAGTTTGATTCGTGGCGGTGGAGTCCCAAGCACGGCCAGGATTCTCACACGGTTTCCTCCCAACGGGGCACTTCCTTCAGTGGAAATGAATCCTTGTGGGGGTTTATGAAGGGGGAGCTTGGAGGGACGTTGTATTGCAACATCGTCGGTGGGCCTTTGGTTTACATTGGTCCTTCTCCTCCTCGTCCTCCTCCCTGATCTTCCTCTTCCTCCCGCTCATCCCCCTGCTGTGGGTCATCCGCCACCTCCTCCCCCTCCACTGCACGCAGGTCCCTCTTCTCACCACCTACCAAACCACCCCAACCCAACCCGAAGGCCTCCATTTGCCCTCCATTTCCAGTGGGGGGGGGGTCGGGGAACATCGAAAAAACGCATGTGGAACCCATACCCCCCCCAACCCGAAATTCGGGTCTTCGGGTTGGGTTGGGGTGGCCTGGTAGGTAGTCATCTTCTGCCTGTGTATCATCACAGGGCAGGGGGCCCCTTTGCGGGATCGAGGTCCGCTGGGTCCCCCGTCGGCGGCTGGAGAGCTACACATTGTTCATTCATAGAAGTCTTCGAAGGTTCTTTGATTTTTTTTGGGGGGGGGGCAAGCTCCTTTCATTTCGGATTGTTCTATCCTGGGCCTCCTCCCGGCCACCGAGGGGGCCAGGAACAATCAGAAACGAGCACAGTTAGAAATGAGCACGACTAGCACTGAACGACGCGCATCCGCGCCATGGGACAGATGGCGCGCGCGCGCTAAGCTTTGCCCGCCCCCCCCCCCGTCCCTGCCCCCCCCCAGCCGAGCCTTAGTCGGGCCTGTCCCTCTACAGCAGGAATCATCCCAAATAGCAAAAAAAAAATAGCACGGGGGACGATACTTCCAGTATGTTTGATTATTTGTTGAAGCATTTGTTTGAAACTTGTAGATTTGTCGTCGAAGATCCCCCTGCAGGGCTTTTTTAAGTTTGTGGATGTATGTTTTGAAGATGGTAGATTTTCCGTCCAAGCTCTCCCTATAGGTTTTTTGTGCTTTACATGTTTGGTGTATTGTAGATGTTTCGTCCAAGATCCCCTTGCAGGGCTTTCGATTTTGTTGATGTAATCTTCGAATATTGTAGATTTGTCGTCCAAAATCCCCCTGTCGGGCTTTTTGATTTTTGTTTGATGTATCTTTTGGGTCTTGTAGATTTGCCGTCCCCCTGCAGGGCTTTTGCTTTTGTGTGGTGTCTCCTTTTGAATCTTGTAGGTTTTTCCTCCAGCATCCCCCTGTACAGTCGGGGCCCTGAAGAAGGACCCCTTTTCGTTGGGAAGGGGCTCCGCGTGCCTTAAGTGTTCCGCAGCTTGCCTCGGGCCTTCCTTCTGTTTCCGATCGGACATCGAAGCTTCACTGATGGAACGAAAGGGGCCTCGTTCCTTAGTTAGGGTTCCGTAGGTCAACGCCCCGACTGTAAGGGGCACAGGCCCCACCTACTCCAAATCCCTTATTCATCGACCCCCCCCTGAAAAACCGGACCCCCCTCCAAATGCGACCTAATATTCCGGACCCCCTCTTCGATGGGGCGCCTTAGTAAACCAGACCCCCTCAGCTCCAATCCAAAGAAAGCGACCTAATAAACCGGACCCCCTTAATGACCAAAAAGGCGCCTTAAAAAACCGGACCCGGGGGACGATTAATAGGGATTTGGAATACGCCGAGCCCGCGCCGCCCGAGGCTCGGGCACGGCGGCGGCGCCGCCGGCGCGGCCCCGGCGGCGGCCGCAGGCGCACCCCGCCCGCGCGGCCGCCCCTGCCGCCGCCGCCGCCGCGGCCGCCGCCGGCGCGCCCGGTGGGCGGCTCCAGTCGCACTGCCCCCTCCGAGCCGAGCCCCCCCCCCCCTCCCTCGCCTCGCCCTCCTCCTGCTCCTCCTCCTCCTCCGGCCTCCTCCTCTGGCCTCCTCCCCTGGCCTCCTCCTCCTCCTCCTCCTCCGCCTCCTCCTCCTCCTCCTCCTCCTCCTCCTCCCCCCCTCCTCCTCTCCTCTGGCTTCTCCTCCTCCTCTCCTCCTCCTCCTCCTCCTCCTCCTCCTCCTCACCCCTCCCCTCAATCCCTCCCCGCCTTGCCTCCTCGCCGCGTCCCAGGGCTGGACCAAAACGGTATTTTTTGCCATTTCGTGGGCCGTTTTCGTCTCGACTTCGTTTTGCGGTATAGAGGTGAACCCGAGACAACAAAAAGCGAGAAAAAAGGAAAACGAGACGAAAACGAAAAACACCGTTCAGGGTCAGCCCTGCCTGCTCCCTCCCTCGCCTCGCCTCGCCCCCCCCCTCCCCTCGCTTCGGATGCAACTCCTGGTAGGTCAAGTTCTGGTTTCGCCCTGGTCCGAAATCCCGCTTCATCCGGCTGAATCCCGCTTAGTCCCGCTTGATCTGGCTGAATCCCGTCTAATCCCGCTGAATCCGGCTTAATCCCGCTTGATCCGAGGCCCACTCTGGCGCAACAGCCCCCCAAACGGGGTTAATCCTTTTTAATCCGTCCGACGAAAACCTCCTAACCCCATCCCTCCCTTCCCTACCTCCCTCCCTCGCCTCGCCCCTCCCTCCCCAGAAAATAGAAGAAAAGATTGGAAGACTTTTTTGGGGTGTATTTATTTGTGTGTCCCAGGGCTCCTTTACATATGTTCGCTTCGAGTCGGCGGTTCCAGGATTCAGGCGATCGCAAGCACGGATTAGAAGGGGCGTGGATTAGCGACGGGTCCCGCTTCCGTGGGGAAGCGCGGAGTTCCGCCCGCCGAGCGAGGCGGCGCCGGCCGCATTTTGGGGAGGGCACCTCCCCCGATCCATGTTTGCGCGCCCCCGAAGGATGGGGCCCCGGGGAATTGGGTCAAGTCTGGCATGTCCCTCTGCAGGAGGAAGATTCCAAAAATAGTCAAAAGTATCGTCTGGGGACGCTGTGTTGACTAGTTTGATTCAGTTGACAAGTAGTTGCTGGCTATTGTGTCTACCAGAGAATCTGCCTGTAGGGGACATGCCCGACCTGAGGATGGGGCCGTGTGGGCAGGCGACGGGTCCCAAGCTGAGCCCTCCATGTCTGAGGCCGCTCGGCCTTTGGGTTCCCCCCCGTGCGGGGCCCCATCTCTGAGCCGGCGGTCGAGCCTGGAGGATCGAGGTCCGAGGCGCGCGAAGGGCCTGTGGAGCCTTCGGCGCTGGCGGGCTTGCAGGCCAGGGCCCGTGGCGCCGCTCCGCTTTAACGGCGCTGTCGGAGAAGGCCTACGGATCTCAATCGTCTTCCTCCCCATGAGTTTCGTACCTTCTGCTGTTGCTGCTGCGAACCCTAATGAATACAGAAGGACAGTATGGCGATGCCGGTCAAAGCACACAAGTCCGACAGAGGAGGTGGAGGAGTATGAGGAGGAGGAGTAGGAGGAGGAGGAGGAGGAGGAAGAGTGAGGAGGAGGAGAAGGAGGAGGAGGAGGAGGAGGAGGAGGAGGAGGGGAAAGCTCACGACATTTCCGGCCGGTCTTGAATCAACGCGTCTGCCCCTGTTCTTGCCTCTGGTGGGCCTCTGGAGGCGCCCAGGACCCACCAGAGGCCCACCAGAGGCCAAGAACAGGGCAAACGCGTTGATTCAAGACCGGCCGGAAATGTCGTGAGCCTTCCCCTCCCTTCTCCTCCTCCCTCCTCCCTCCTCCTCCTCCTCCTCCTCCTCCTCCTCCTCCTCCTCCTCCTCCTCCTCCCCCCTCCTCGATCATTAAGGGTCGAGCGCGGAACCTCACAGGAGGAGCAGCAGCAGCAGCAGCGGTTGGGGCCCCTCGCGCAGGAGGCCCGCCCCCGAGCTCCCGCACCTCGTCTTCGGCCTCGGGAGCCGTGGCCCCCCCCCCCCCCCCGACGACTCCCTCGCGGCTGCTTGCCGCCGCAGGGCATTTCGCGGCGCGGCCCGGCAGCGACGGCACGGCGGCACGGCGGCACGAGCGGAGGCGGCCAGTGCGCCGCCCCTTCGCCGGGCCGAGGGCCTGACCCGCGCGGGCCGGCCCGGCGCCGGCGGCAGACTGCCTGCGCAGGCTGCGCAGGGGCCGCCGCCGGAGCGGACCGAACGGCACGGCGCCGCTCGGGGGCGGCGGCACGGCCGCGGCCTGCGGGGCCGGGGGCGCAGAGGGCTATAGTGAGCCCTGGAAGCGACGGGGCCGTTTTTTTATCGGTGCCGTTTTGCCGTTTGTGTTGCCGGTTCCGACGCCGTTTTTTTACCGGTTCCGTTCTGCTGTTCTTTCACGGGCTCCCGCTCCGGTCCCAATCTTGGGGGCCGTTTTTGTTGCCGTTTCCGGTCGCCGTTTTTTAACCGCTTCCATTTTCAAGGGACATTTTTTTGTCGCGAACCGGTGAAAAAACGGCCCTGCTGTTTCTGGGGCTCACTGGGCTCCAACCTACATTAGCCTTGATCACCTGAAAGAATTTCGACCGCCAGAGAAGGTACCGAAACTCGCGGGTTTTCACGTGTCGGGCCCTGGGAGACACTCGCCCGACACTGTCTCGACACTGTTTCGACACTTTTTTTGCCGTTTCCTTGTCAGGCCTTTTTTTGAAGTCCCCCTTGAAAATGGAAACGGTTAAGAAACAGCCCTGCCGTTTCTGGGGCCGGCCTGCTGCCGGCCCGGTTCCCGAAAGGCCCTGCTCCCGCTGGCGGCCCCGGCGCGAGCGCCGCGGGGGCCAGGGCGGGACCCTCGGCTGCGCGGCGCCGGCGGGCGTTTGCGGCCAGCTCTTGGCGGACCGCCGCGCGGGCAGGCTGAGCTCCCCGGGGGCCAGGGGCGCCGACGCGGTCCTGCTTGGGTGGAGTCGGGCCTGTCCCTCTACAGAAGCAGTAATAAAAAAAGAAATGTCAAAACATATGGGGACGATATCCATGTGTTTGCGCATTTGTGGCGCGTTTCTGTTTAGTGCTGGTAATTTTCCGCCCAAGTCCCCCTCTACGGGGACGGGCCCGACCTGAGCGCTGCGGCCGAGGAGGCGGTCGGCAGCGTCTTCCCTGGCCCTCGCCGGGAGGGTCACGCAACCTCCCCTTTCCCCCAGTTCCCAGGGCCCCCCCCCCTCCGCAGGCCGTGCAGCACTTGTCCCAGGTCATATGTCACACTACTTTGTGTGTGGGCGGGCTGGGGGTACAGACAAGGTGCTGATGTCGGTGCAACGCTGCGCCAGATGAGAAAGTGTACGCGTGTGGGTATGCCATGCCATGAAGAAGCTGGAGCGGGACGTAATGGAGGATGACGATTAATAAATGACCGGGGGTCGTGTTCACGCGGCGGCGCCCGGGATGACGATTAGAAAAACCGGCCGCGGGCTGGAAAACTATGTATTTTTTTTTGTTTGTTTCAATCGTTCTCCTCCAGTCAGAAACTTTTCCAGAAATATCAAAACTTTTTTAAAATCGTTCTCCCCCATTTCTTTACTAATCGTCATCCCGCGTGACTCAGCTTCAGTGCAGGAGTCCCTGCGCAAGGAGGAGCAGGGGCGCCCGGATGCGGTGGCGTCGTCCATACAGGTGCTGCAGGCGCTCCCCGGAAGAGCTGGCGCGCGGGCCGCGCGGGAGGAGATCCCGCTGAGCTGGGCCCGCGCCCCTCCCTCCCTCCACCCTGCCTCCGTGCTGTGCCTCCGTCCCTCCGCCCTCGCCTCCCTCTCTCGCTCCTCGCTGCCTGCCCCCCCCTGCCCCCGTATTGCTGGCCCCTTGTCGCCCTCATTCTGGCCAGCTTTGGCTGCTGCTGCGTCGCGCGAGTTCTGCTTCGATCTTGCTCAGCCGGCGCGCGCGCGCGCGCCCGCGCGACTCGGCCATTGGCGTGGCTGGGCCCGCGAACGCTCAAAACTGTTTGAATGCGGTTTGCGCGTGTATGTTTAAGTCGGGCATGCCCTTTTACAGGAATATTCAATGCTATTCAACATACATAAAATGGGGACGACTTTTTGACCATTTTTGGGCATGTGGTGATTCTTGCTAGTCTTTCAAAATGCGCCTGTAGGAGGACATGCCCGACCTAAGTGTTTGTGTGGCTGTCCCGGAGGCAGAAGACGGTCTGCAGACGCCGACACAAGTGAAATCCGTCAGGCTCGATAGAGACGAGTCGTTGGAGCTCTGGATCCTTGCTCTCCACGCCTCCTCTTCTCCTTCTCCCACCAATTACCTCCCCGTCGTCCTCCTTTCATCCCTCCCACCTTCCTCCTTCCATCCTCCCTCCCTCCATCCCGTCTTGTCTCCTCGGCAGTTCTCCTTTACCCCCTCCTCCTCTCCCCCCGTGCGCACTTCCTCGCACAGGGGCAGGGGGGGAGGAAACAAAAGGATCAGGATGAGGAGATGTCCTATGGTTTCCGGAAAGTTTCTGCCACCCCCTCCTCCTCCGCCTCCTCCCCCTCCTCCCTTTTTCTCCTCCCCATGCTCCCCCATCCTCCTCCTCCTCCTCCTCCTCCTCCTCCTTCTCCTCCTCCTCCTCCTCCTAACCTCCTCCTCCTCACCCTCTTCACCCTCCTCCTCCTCCTCCTCCTCCTCCTAACCTCCTCCTCCTCCTACCCTCCTCCTCCTCCTTACCCTCCTCCTCCTCCTCCTCCGCCTCCTCCTCCTCCGCCTCCTCCTCCTCCTCACCCTCACCCTCACCCTCCTCCTCTTTCTCCTCCTCCTCCTCCTCCTTCTCCTCCTCCTCCTCCTCCTCCTCCTCCTTCTCTTCCTCCTCCTCCTCCTCCCTCCGGTTTCCCGGCGCGCCCAGCCCGAAGGCGCCAGCGGCGCCGCCGTGGCGGCGGCGCTGGCCCCACCTCCGAGCGCGGCAGGCCGCCGAGGGGGGAGGAGGAGCGGACACCGATGGCGAGGTTGGAGATCAAAGACGGGGATCAGGGCACGTCTGAGGGGGGGTCCTCTCCTTGCTGCCCGATTGCCACAGTCATTCCGCTGAGGGAGGAAGAGGAGCGGACACCCATGGCGAGGTCGGAGATCAGAGACGGGGACCAGGGCACGTCCAAGGGGGGTCCTCTCCTTGCTGCTCGGTTGCCACAGTCCTTCGGCTGCTCGTCGCTCGTATCCTTGCAGCTCGGCGCTGTGGGGCAGCCCGCGGGCGCGCGGGCCGGCGGGCCTCGGCCGGCGGACTTGACGCCGCGAGCACCCGCTCACGCGGCTTGCCCGAGCAGAGATCGGGCCGGACGAAAGGGGGGGATTGGGAAAGGGGGGGTTACGAAATTTGCTGCATGCAGCTGGCTTCGGCCCCACCGAGGGGTCCATTCCTCGATACATGGCCGCCTCCGGCGCCGGGAGGCGCCGGGAAAATCAGCTACGTGAGCTGATTCTCACCCCCCCCTTTTGCTATCCCCCCCTTTCGCCCGACCCGAAGAGAGCGGGGTGCTCTCATAGGAGACTTCCGTGGTCCATGGGGCCCAGGCCTCCAGGTGCAGTCAGCCTTGGTAGCAAGGATGAGCGCCTTTCCAAGTTTACCCTTGCATCCTCCCTCTTCGGCCCACCCCCGGCCACCTTTGCTGGCCGCGCACCGCTCGAAGGGTGTCGACGTCGCCTCCCAAGGCCCTTGCATCCTTACCGCGCATCCTTCTCATGCGGCTTCTGCTGTAGACGGCGGGGGGGCCCAAACGGTGTTAGGGGAACAAACCAGCACACAAATATTAAAACTTTGAGGTCCGCGCGGGTTCCTCGCGTCGTCGCTGGGGCCCCTGGCGGCGCCTCCGGTGCCACCTCTGCTGGGCACCTCCCAGCTGGCACTTCACTGCGAGTCTGCGACTTGGACGGGCGCGGTATCATGGCAACGTCGACGACGTTAGACACGATGATGAAAGTAGCGATGCTGATGACGATGTTGACAACGACGAAGGCGCGGCCAGTGCGGGCGCCGATGCTTATCACGCGGACGGCGATGACGACGTCCTCGCGTCGGTGATGAAGGTTTTAAAAAGAGTTCGACATGCGCGCGCGGCCGACGCGCGAGAGTGGCCCGCGTGGTAGACTTTGACACGGATCCTGCCCCCCCCAGCACGCGTGCAAGGGCGTACTCATGATGTCGGCATGCTGCGCGAGAGGCCCGTTTGGCAACATTCCATGAACATGTTGAGAAATCGAGCAAGAGGCGGCACCATTTGTTTTTGGTATGGCTTCGGGACACTCGATTTTGAAACCGCTGCGAAACCGAAGGTTGTTGACGGATTCCAGCATGCGCGCGCGACGACGCGCGCGTGTGCACGTTGCTTTCATTTTTTGCAAAGGGTTCTCGCGACGGCACGCGCGCAATGGCGTTCGAACGATTTCGACACGCCCGCGCGCGAAGCCCGTCTGGTAGCTCTCTATAGAAATTTAACCAATGTTTTGCTTAAGAACTTGAATGGGTGCGCGCGCAAGTTTTGTTTGAAGATCCTTGTTGCGAAATCATGTGGTCTAATCTGTGTTTGTTTGGGTACTCGATCATGAATTCCCTGCGGAACCAAATGTTTCTTGAAATATTTCGGCATGCGGGCGCGACGACGCTCGCGTGTATTTTTGATTCACGAATACACTCGCGTAGTCGGTTTGTTTGCACAGGATTACGGGGGGGCGGTACTGGTCGGGCTGGGATGTTACGAGTTCGTTCTTAGGATGGACGATGAGGCAGGAGCACATGCAAATTGCAATACGAAAAGGGGAACCGACAAGCCAGGGGGGTCAGAGCATATTTTTCGCCTCTGTTACAAACGGGGAATCTACGCGGTGCGTCCTATGTAATGCAGTCCACTGCTGAACTTGAAGTCGTCATCTCCACTGCTCGCGCAAACATCCCACCCACCCACCCGCAACTTGGTTTGCAAAACCTGTTAAGACCGACTACGACGACAACGACTAGGACGACTAGGACGACACCGACGACGTCTCCGACGACTTCGACGACGACAACGACGCCGACGCCGACGACGACGAAGACGACGACGACGACGCCAACGAAGGCGACGACGAGGGAGGAGGAAGGACGACGACGGCGACAACGACGACAACGACGACAACGACGAGGGAGGAGGGAGGACGGCGACGACGCGAACGACGACGAAGGAGGAAAGACGGCGACGCCGACAACGACAACGACGAGGGAGGAGGGAAGACGACGACGACGACAACGACGACGACGACGGCGACGAAATAGGAGGGACGACGAGACGCCGACGACCGACGACGACGACGATGTGGGAGGTGGAGGAGGAAGGACGAGCACGACGACAACGACGACGGAAACGACCACAACGCCAAAGAGGACGACGACGACGAACACGAGAAAAGACAGAGGACGACGTAGGCGACGACGACGACGACGCGGGAGGAGGGAGGACGGCGACGACGACGACGACGACGACGACGACGCAAGAGCGCGCGCGCGCACGCTTCTGTTGAAAATCTGTGTTGCGAAACTTTTGGTTTTTGTAGGTTTTTTGGACGGACGCACGATTTTGAAATCCTTCCGAAACCGATGGGTTTTGAAGGTTTTCGGCATACGCCCGCGACGACGCGCGCGTCTGCACTTCGTCGTGTCTTTTGCCGAGGATTCTCGCGACGGCACACGCGCAAGGGCGTTCGACAGATTTTGACATGCGCGCGCGCGAAGCCCGTTTGGTAGCATTTTGTGGAATTCTTGAAAAACCTATGTTTGTGTCTTGTTGTTTTATTGAAATAATCGCAAGAGCTCGCGCTGAAACTGTTTTAGCAAAGCAATGTTGCGAAACCATGTGTTTTTGTATGTTTTTGTTTTTGAAACTCGATTGCGAAATCCTTCCGGCACCGAAGGTTGTTGAAGGATTTCGGCATGCGCGCGCGACGACGCGCGCGTGTGCACTTCGTCACGTTTTTTTGCCAGGGGTTCGCGAACATGTGCTTTGTTAGAACAAAAAATGTCACCGCATAGTGTTTTTTTCGAGGGAACCTCAGGGGGGGGAACCCGGCCTGGCTGGGATAGTACGATTTCATGTTTAGGATGGACGGGTGTGCAGAATATATATGAAATTCGATTATCCCAGGGAGGGCCGATAAGTCCGGGGGGGGGGGGTAGAGTCTATTCTTTGTCTAGAAAGGAGAATTGACTACCTTGCGCCGCGCTTGATCACCTCCACTGCTCGCGCAATCGTCCCACCCACCCTCCCGCAACTTGGTTTGCAAAACCCATGCGGAGGCGAATGCGATGAGTGCTTGACGTTTGCTGGTCCTTTTGTGCGGCAGCACCGTCCCAAACACGCGCGCGCCAAGGCCAAGTAGTTTGGCGCGACCGAGGCGGCCGCGGTGGTTCTGACCGCGGGGCACATCCCAGCGGGCGAGTCGGCGACTTGGGCGCGCGCGGTATCATGGCAACGTCGACTACGGTAGACAGGCGAGAAGTTTTTGGAACGAGTTTCGGCATGCGCGCGCGGCCCAGGCGCGAGAGTGGCCCGCGCGGTATTCCTTACACGGGCCGTGCCCTCCCAGCGCGCGCGCAAGGGCGCGCGAATGATGTCGGCATGCGGTGCCGCAGGCCCGCTTGGCAGAATGCCATGATCATGTTGAGAAACCGATGGCTTATCGTAAACACTCGCACGAGCGCGAGCGCATGCTGCTTGAAAGCTGATGTTGCGGAACCGTGTGTTAACAACAAAGAAGCTATGTTTGGGGGCGTTTGGTTTTGAAACCGCCGCGAAACCGAACGTTGTTGACGGATTTCGGCCTGCGTGCGCGACGACGCGCGCGCGTGTTCTTCGTTTTGTTTGTTGCAGCGAATTCGCGACAGCACGCGCGCAAAGGGCGTTCGGACGATTTCGACATGCGCGCGCGAAGCCCGTCCGGTTGAACAGCACATGGTTTTTTTAACAAGAAGTCACAAGGGCGCGCGCGCACGTTTTTTTGAAGATCTGCGTTGCGAGACCTTTCGCTTTTATATGTGTTTGGACACTCGATTTCGAAATCTCTATGACACCGAAGGTTTTGGACGGATTGTGGCACGCGCGGGCGACCACGCGTGCGCGTGCCAAAAGCGAACGACTTGCGCGCGAGGCCGACGCGCGATATTGGCGCGCATGGTATTATTTGAAACGGACCACGCCCCACCACCACCCCCTTAGCACGCGCGCAAGGGCGTGATAATGATCATAATAGAATTCGATGATGATGTTGGAACGACATACGATGTTTTCAATATTTCGTCAGAGTGCGAATGCACGCCTTTTTTCCAAGCTGATGTTACGAAACCGATGCTTACATTTATACACATATATGTATATACATATCTATAGATGTTGTTGAATACTGGGTTTGCTGTCGTTTCGAATCCGAAGGTTGTGGGCGGATTTCGGAATGTGGGCGCGACAACACGCGCGCTTTTTTTTGCAGCGAATTCTCGCCGCAGCACGCGCGCAAGGGCGTTCGAACGATTTTGACATGCGCGCGCGGAGTTTTTTTTGTTTCTCTTGTTTTTTCCTGGTAGCGTGTTATGAACATATTGGGAAAACAAAGCGACGGCTTTCCTAACAATCCCCAAAAGCGCGCAAGGAATCAACACATTTGTTGCGAAACCCAATGTTGCTATATGTTGTTTGGGAACTCGACCCTTCATTTGTTTTTACGAAGCTGGAAGTTCCTGAAGGATCTCAGCATGTGCGCGCGACGACGCGCGCGTGCGGACTTCATTGTTTGTTGCAAAGGGTTTTTGGCAACTGATGCGTTTTGATGAACGAGTGCGCTTCGAGTGGCGCGGGGGGGCGAATACCGGCTCGCCCGTGATGGTATGAGCCCATACAGAAAATGAGCAAGGACGCGGAATCATACGTAAATCACAGCATTCGGGACCGATTTGATAACCCCGGGGGGGGAGAGAGACTGCGATTTTGTTTTCTCAGAAGAGAACCTACGCGACGGCGACGGCGGCGACGGGCGGCACCGCCCGCAAAAACTGCCCTTCGCCCCGACTGGCGGCAACGGCGACGGCGGCACCGCTAGCAAAAGCCGCCGCTCGCCCCGAACGGCGGCGACGGCGACGGCGGCGACAGGCGGCACCGCTCGCAAAAACCGCCACCTCACCCCGAGATGGTTAAGCCAAATATGAAACCCGAAGTGCAAACACTGTTTGGGGAATGTGTTTCAAAATGCCCCCACCGCAACCTCGGGGGAGGCAAAGAGGGGGGTGATGACTAGGGGGGGGGATATCATGGCGGCGGCCATGATATTTCCCCAGATTTCATGTCGTCCCTTCTTCTTTCATTACGTCCCTCGCCCCCCCGCTGGGCCGCGCACGTGCCGCCGATCATGATTTCCGCGCCCCCCTCTTGGACACCCCCCTCGTGTCCGCTCCCGATGACTATCTGGAGCCCTCTGGGCACACGCCCCGCGGCGCGCGCGCGCCCGCGCGCCCCGCGACACACGCGCCGCGGCGTCGGGCATGGCGCGCGCCCGCGGCGCCCCGCTGCCCGGGCTGCCGCGGCCGCGCGGCCGGCGCGTGGCGCCGCTTCGCGCGGCGGCCGAGGGCCTGGCTGCCGTGGAGCACTTCCGGGCGCGCGGGCACCTGGAGGCGTCGGGGCTCCAGAAACGGGGGTCAATGCAAACGGGGGTCAGCCAGAGCGCCGGATCTTGCAGGATCATGCGGGGCCTGAGTCGCACTTTCCCGGGTCTGGGTGCAGGATCCCGCAGGATCTTGCAGGATCCTTCGCATTGGCCCGGGCAGGATTTTGCAGGATTCTGGAAGGCCTGACTGACCTGGGTCTGGATTGACCCGGGTCAGGAGATCCCCGAAGGTGGGGCCCTTTTCGAGTCGTCCGAGATTCGACTTCAGTCGGGCGTGCCCCTCTGCAGGAGGAGTATTCAGAGATAGTCAAACGTGGTTTGGGGACGACCTCTTGACCATCTTGAGGTATTGTTGCATATGTTTTGCCTGTGTTTGAGCTTCCTCTCACAGTCCGCCCGTGGGACGACATGCTCGACCCAAGACTCGATTCGCCATGGGAGAAGCGGGTCCTGAGGGAAATGGGTCCCGAGCTGTTTTTGCTGTTTTGCGGCTTCCAGGGGCCCTCCACGGGCCTTGGGGCCGTCAGAGAACGGCTCAAGAAGCAGATCTCGTCCTGGGTGGGAAGGCCCCAGGGTCCAGGACCTGTTTCCATGCCAATCGATTCCTTTCGTTTTCGATCGATGTTCCGATATCGATCCGGTTTGGTCTCGGATTCCGATGTGGATTTTTCCATTTTGCGGCCGAGACATTACCAGCCTGCCGATTTCAGCCGATTGATGTTTCCCGACTTGTTTGCCGGTGTCCGCCGATCCGATTCTCGGGGGTGGACAGGCCTCCTACCCTGACACGTCGATTAGCGAATTGGCAGTTTTCTGTTCGCGAGAGGGCGTCGTTGCCGTCATTTTTGCGGGTCCAGGTCCGTCGGTTTCGGTCCTGGGCCGTTTTCATTGAAGGGAGGTTTACTACAGGGAGGTTTGTCCACCGCCAATGTTCATTCCGATCACCGATCCGATTGTCAAATTCGCTTGCGGGTTTTCCTGTGAAGGCGGGGCTCGACCCCCTGCTGCGCACGCGCGGGACCCTGGTGCCGAAGGTTCGGTGGGATCGAAGAACACGGAATGGCCTTTACATTAAGTCGGGCCTGTCCCTTTACAGGGGAAATAATCAAAAATACTTTTAAAAAAGTTGCGTGTTTTTTTGTATTTTTGATCATTTTTGATTATTTTTCGAGTAAATTTTATTTTTCGTCGAAAATCCCCCTGTAGGGGGACAGACCCGAATTAACCTTAACATAACTTCTCGGAGCTCCACGCGGATTTCTCGGATTGGCGTTGGGCCCCCCCTGGCGGTGCCTCCGGCGCCGGTCCTTGCGCGCTCCGCGCGCCAGGGAGCGTTCTTGTTCAGCGCGGATCCGAGAAATCCGCGCGGATCTGCGCAAAGTATGTTCAGGTTGTTTCTCGCTCCTGTAGAGAAACCGATGCCGCTGCTCGTCCTGGAGAGGGCCCCCGCTGCCACGGCTTCATTGTTTTCAATGCTCTGGCCACGGAGGTGTCTGTGGGGTAGCGGTATCGGAAACTTGTTTCGATTGGCAAGCGTAAACAGTACCTTTCGCCAGAGTGACCTTTGATGCGGGCCCAATGAAGTCCCCCAGTCGCCGAACGCGAAGCGGTAGCAGCGACTTGCGCGCCCAGGTTTGTCCACCCCGCGCTCCCTATAAGGGTCACTCTTGCGTGTAGCCGTTTCGAAGAAGAGAGTGCATCCATTGTTCGGTTGAAGCTCCGCGCGGTTTTCCTGCGTCGGCGCGGGACACCACGCGCGGAGCGCGCCAAGGGTGGCGCCGGAGGCGCCGCCAGGAGGGGGCCCAGCGCGGATCTAGGAGATCCACGCGGAGCTAAGGTTTATGTTTAGGCATTTCTGCGTGTTCCTTTGAGAGCAGTGCCAGTACTTTCCCAGGCATGCGACGTTCCGATGTTTTTCTCTACGGGGCTCCGGGACGTCCCGACCCTTTCCCCAGGACCGGTTCCTCGTCCCGAGCATTCGACGATTCCGCCCATTAGAAAAACATGGTCCGCCGTGATTGTGCCACGATGCCACCCTTGCGGCGTCTGAGCCCTTGCGGCTGCCGAGCTCACGATCGAGCCCATTCGACTGCCGAACAGGCTGAATGTCTTCGACCCAGTCGGAATTGAGCCCGTTCCGCTGCCCATTCGTTCGGTGGCAAATCATGGGAGCCTGGTGTACCCTCTCAATTCCGTCCTTAACGTCGATTCGCGTCTGGAAGTCGATGAGGTAGCGCCGATTTAGCGTACATTTAGCGTCGATTAGTGTCGAGCTAGCGTCGATTAGCGTCGGTTCTCAAGAGCCGACAAGATGGTATGGGATGCTCCCATCAGCTGCCACCAAACACTCGGCGGCCGAATGGGGTCAAACGCGGAACGGGCTCAGAAGGGAGCCCTGGGGCAGCACGTCTCAGGAGGGACAAGAACACAGACACACCTCTTTCGAGTCGTAGGAACATATCGAATATCTTGGAAGTGGGTGGGAAGGCGGACATCCACTAAATATGGAAAAAGCATGTTGCATCCTGGGATTTGTGTGTTCTTCCTGGGCCCCTTCAGTGGAAGAACAGCCAACGGCATCGACATAAACTTTTGGCAGTCCACACGGATTTCTTGTATTTGCGCTGGGCCCCCCTGGCTGCGCTTCCAACGCCGCCCCCGGCACACTCCGCGCGCCAGGCAGGGGGGTCCGGCGCAGATCCGAGAAACCAGCGCGGACCGTCGATGCTCACGGTCGGACCCAGGTATACGGTCGAGGTCGGCTCGGGGAGGTTACCCTGATGTTATTAGTGTTTGGTTGATGTCGCGTTGCATCCAACAAACACAGCCCGCGCAGGGCGCGCTCCGGCGCATGCTGCTTCTGACCCCTCTGGATGTTATGTTGCATCCTGTGGGAAGGTACCCTCGAATGTTCTTCAGTTTGGCCGGCGGAGGGTGTCATACAGTCGACCTTGCATCCTCATCGCGCATCCTTATTCTACGGGTTGGTTGTAGTCCTGAAGAATGTTGTTGTGTCTTATGCCCGACTGTCAGCCGTTTTTCTTCCCATGTTCCATGTCTGAGCTCTCGCCTCCCCGATGGAGGCCTGGTGGGACGCCACGCCACAGAGGTAAGGAGGAGGAGGAGGAGGAGGGAAACACGCACACAGACACAAACACTCGCCGACCCCCATGAGAAATAAGGGACATCTGGGAAGTGAGGGGGGAAATGTAATCTACATCCAGATGTGAAACATGTGTGGGCCATCATTGGACTTGTGCCCATCCGTTTGTGCCTCCCTGGGCCCCGTCCCTGCCGTGGTTTCCCTGCTCCTCCTCCGCCTCCTCGTCCTCCTCCTCGTCCTCCGCCTCCTCCTCCGCCTCGCCTCCGTAGCTATGTTGGCTCACGCCAGTTTGGCTCAAGTGCAAGGCCCGCTTTCGTTTCAGACAACCGCGGTCGAGTTACGCGCCGCTGGGGCCAAGAGTGTTCCTGGGGGAGGGCCCTCTCACGCGCTGCAGTGGTCTATGAGTGGCCATGGCCGCGATGGCAAGGCGAGAGGGGGGAGCAGGCCCAGGGCCCTTGGCCCGAGCAGGCGGGCGGACTACCACACGTGTGCGGGGTGTGGATATGGACGGACCTTCGCTTCGAAGGAAGAGTGCTACAAGTGTGGGCGCGTGCTGGGCCCGGGGGTCACAGGCCCTTGGCGTGACGTCGGCGGCCAAGCAGGGGCGGCGTGGCGGGCCCAGCCGGCCGACGTCCGCAAGCCCCCAGGGGCCCGCACCCGCAGTGTCAGCCTGGCCCTCTCGGGCGGCTCCGTGGCGTGGCCAGGGAAGCCAGGGGCCCAGGAGCTACTGGCGCAGCTGGCCAATGCCGTGGACCCCGAGCGTCGATCGAGCAGCTCGAGGCGAAGCTCGTGCCAGCAGCCCCGCCCCCTCTGCCCAGGGCCAGGCTGCTCGAGGAGGAGGCAGCAGAGGCCAGCATCCGCTTGCGTCGCGCGGGGTCGAGGCCACGAGGGCGAAGGCTGGCTTCAGCGCGGCGAAGGCGCAGACCCAGCCAGCCTCACCCAAGGCAGGTATCGACCTTCTCGGCTTTTGGCAAGGGGGAAGTGCCCGAACTCTACGACGGCGACGCATCCAACATGCGGGAACCCGACATCGAGACCAGCGAGAGGGAGCCCCACGAGCGGCTCAAGGTGCAGCTTCAGGAGCAGCTGCGCTCGGCCGCCCAGTCGCCATCCGGGCCTGGGGCGCTGGAGCTCGAGCGCAAGTGGCAGGAGGTCTAGGCCACGCGCGGCCGCCTCGCCACGAAGCGCAGGAGCCAGTCACCAGCAGCGCGTGATGGACGAGCACCTTCCGCTGGCGAGCCGTCGGGAGGCGCTGCCTGCGGCCCGGCCAGTGCCCGTCGTCGAGCCTGGCACGGCACCACCCGCGATGCGGGATGGGCAAGCGGCTGATGCTGGGCCTGGCGCTGCTACCTCCAGTGCCCCTGAGTGCGTCCGCAGGCCAGGAGGCGCAGCCGAGCGGGTCTCACCAGCCAAGGGCGGAGACGACGACGCCCCCGACGCAACGGCCGCCGAGCGCACCCGTCGGGAGGCCGTCGGCAGAGCCTTGGCAGACACGGCCGTCCGTGCAGGAGCGGGGGCCTGACGGCCCATCGGGACCATCCGGCGCGACGGCGACTGACACCAACCATGCCGAGCAGAGCAGCCGTCGCGAGCGCGGCGGGCGCGCCGTGCGCAGAGGCTGGCGCAAGGCCATGCGCTCGCGCCTAGCGCCTGCACCAAGCTCCGCAGCGGCTACCGCAGCGCCGCGGGCGGCAGCTGAGCGGTCGGTAGCCTTCGGCGAGCTCTGCATCGACGAAGAGTCTGCCTGCGCGGATGGCCCTGACGCGGCGACTGGCCACGGCGAGACTAAAACTGCCGCCGCCCCTGGCCCCTCGCCCAAGGCCCCCCGCCCACGCGATGCCCGCGCGTCGGAGGGGGGGCGCGCGGGTTGCAGCATGGGATGGGAGGGCGGCGGCGCGCGTGCGATCCAGATGGCGACCGCGTCCACTGCGAGGTCAGGGCGGCCCGAAGGTGACCCGCGCGCCCGATGCGCGCGGGGGCGGCTCATCCAGGTTGGGCGAAGACCATGGCGCACTGGAGAGTCGCGCGACATACCGTCACAGCGCTCGTGGATCGGACCTGAAGCTGGATCGAGTCGATTGGGGCGGCGAAGAACACGGCGCATTGAAGGGCCGCGGGTCTACCACCGCAGCGCCCGTTTCGGAGTTGCTGCTGGTTCGGGAGGGCGGCGAGCACCTCGCGGCCCCCATGCCGGGCGCCGACGCGGACGGGGACTGCGACCCGATCGAGGTGAAGGCTGCTGGGCCGCAAAGACCCGAGGATGCCCCGAGAGCAGAACACTTCACGCTCAGCGTCGATACGCGGCACTGGATAAAGTCCCGAGGAAGCCCCCGCGGAAGGAGACGGGCTCAGGCGCGCGGACACCCCGCGAGAGGCGCGGCATGGAGGCGGCACCTTCGTCGGGAGTGGTGCGCGCGGATTCGAGAGCTGGGCCCCCCCGCTCGGCGTCGACCGCGGCCTTTTCGAGCCTGGGGCTGCCCGGAGTCTTTTGCGGAGGCACCGGCTCCCCGTCAGCGCCAACGCGGAGTCGCTGAAGCGCACGCGGGCGAACCTCGACACGAGCGGGGCGGGCGCGGTCAATGGCCCGCGTGGGGGCGCGACAGCGACGGCGGCTATCTTGCCAGACTCGGCTGCTACCTCACCGCACGCGCTACGGGCGGTGGTCCAGGAGGCGCCCGATGAGTGTCCGCAGTCGAAGCAGGACCTCGCAGCTGCCGCCCTTCCTTGCCCCTCACCCCAGGCCCCCCGCCCGCGCGCCACCAGCTTCGACAAGCGGGCGCGCGGGGCGCATCGCGGGGCCGCCGAGGGGGGGCCGGGGGCCCGCGACGGCAGGGAAGGCGGCGCAGGCGCGACCCAGAAGGCCACGACGACAACCGCTGCGGCCAAGAGAAGGCGACGCGTAGAGCGAGGTTGTCAGGTCCTGGCGGTCAACGCGACGAGCTGGCCCAGCATGCTCACGCAGCTCGAGGAACAAAGGATCCCCCAGGGCCCTGCCGCTGCTCTGAGCCAAGAACACCACTTGGACGAGATCCGCGTGGATAGTGCGATGAAGACGGCCCACCGTCTGGCGCGCGGAGGCGCCGCGGGCGGCGTTGGCTCACTTGCCAGGCACTGGGTAGTTGTGCGGCGCCGTGGGTTTCAGCGCGATTAGGTCCACGCCCCACTCTCGTCGCGCCGCGGTTTTTGGCTGACCGACCTCGGGCCCAAGGAGGGGCTGCTGCCGGCGTCGGCCTACCTCCGCACTTTTGAGGAGCTGGGCGACGTCAACTTGGACCAGCTGTTCGGCGTCGGCGCTGTCCTGCGCGCGGCGGGTCGACCCTGCGCCGCTGGCGGCGGCTGGCAGATGCCCCCGTCGACGCTTGGACACTTGCACTGGCCGCAGGCAGCGAGGGGGGGGGCCAGGCACCGTCGGGGACGGAGGCCGCCTGCGTCGCCAGCACGAGCGCTAGGGCCATCGATTCCTTCGTCGCCAGCCGCCGCACGGCAGGCAGGGAGGTCCAGATCATCGGCGACCTCTCTGTCGCCGCGCACAAGAGAGTGGTCCATGACCTTGGCGTCGGCTCCATGCCGTGCGAGGCGATGGCAATGCGCGTGGCCGAGCCGTTCCCTATCGACATTGCGATTGGCCCCCAACGCCTGCCACCTGACTTCGACCTGCTGCTTGAGGGGGGCCAGGGTGCCCAGGCTCGTCGAATAGCGAGCACACGGCGTAGCGACGGCGACGACAGGAGGGTGCTGGACGGCAACTGCCAGTCCTTGTTCCGAATGTACGAGGACGAGTTGGTGGGCCACATCGGACTGCGCGGAGAAGGAGAAAAGCACCGTGGCCGCGAGCGCGGGGCCAAGCATGTTATCGCCACGCTGGACATGCACAAGCGGCGCCAGGGCCATGCAGTTCAGTGGCGCGCCCAGCCGCCTTCGACAGCCACTGGCGATGGCTGGCCGATCGGGTCCGCGAGTGGCGCCATTGCCGAGCGTGCCCCGCAGGCGTCGCCGCCCTCGCGCGGCCGCGCGCGCCCCGGGCCAGGCTCGCAAGGCTCAGTCAAGCGACCAACGCCGCATCGAGGCCCGAGACGTGGGCCCTGCGCCAGGCTGCTGCTCGACGCCTCAACGCGGGCAGCGATGGCGAGCTGGATGGGCCGGGGGGGGCCTCACCAAGTGTGCCCGATATGGTTGAGACAAGGCAGCTTTCAGACGGTGCCGAAACTGGATTGTTTGGTCGAGACTCGGCGAGCCATGATGCTATGGGCAGGCTTTCCAGTGACTGACGCAGGACGCCGCGTCGTCGGCCACCTCGCCCGCGGTGACTCCAGGCAAGGTGCAGCAGCGACGAGGCCAAGGCAGCCGCCGAGCCTTGGCGCCAGCTGTAGTCCAAGGGCCCAGGTCGGGACATCGATTGGCAGGACGACGCTTTCGACGGCGTCACAGTTGAGCTGCCCACGGTCGAGGAGGTTCGGAGAGCGTCGCGCGCCTTCTCGGGGAATCACGGGCCTCGGCTGCGACGCGGTGCATCCGAGGCACTTCGCGCGGCTCAGCGACCAAGCCGTCATGGCGCTCACCTGCATATGAGACGGCATGCCGGCGATGGGGCGCTTGCCAGTGGCGATCGCCCTCATTCGTGAGGCCCTGCCGCCGAAGCCTGATGGGGGCCGCCGCACGATTGGGGCATCTCCTGTGACGATGCAGCCGCCGACCCGTTTTTTTTTTCAGACATGGCGAGGGCGGCAGATGGGCCGACGCCCATCGACGCGACCATGTGCATGGAGTGGACTGCCAGGGCAGGAACTGCGAGGCCCGCGTATGGAAACAGGCTGGGCAAGCGGAGTACGCCTCAGCATGCCGCTTGAGAGCGGGGCTCCGATCTTGCTCTGCCTCACCAAGGCCTACGGGTAAGTTCGCTGGCGCTTGCTCGTGGTCAAGGCTCGGGCCCTGGATCCGGGCCCATGATTGCAACATGCTGCTGCGGATGATGGTCGGCTTCTGCAGCTTGCCAAGGGTCATGGCGCTCGAAGGCCTGATCGTGAGGGCGTTTAGCGTGTGGAACGGTGTCGTAGCTGGCTGCTCGTTCACTGACTTGATACTGGGGTTTTTCCGGATGCCGATCCTGGGCCGCATGGCGGACATGCCGAACCTCGACCTCGGCAGTGTCGTGGACGACACCCAGCTGTAGTTCATGGGGCGCGATGGGCGAGTGGTCGGCACGCTCGCCAAGGCCTACGCGACGGTGCGCGCAGGGCCCTTCGCGGACCACCTGGTGCTGAACGATGCCAACCGTCACTCGGCGGCGGTGGCGCTGAGTCGGCGCTGCCCGTCGCTGCAGGGGCGGGAGGCCCGCTCGACTCGCAACCTCGGATGCGTTTTGCTGTGCGTCAAGCGGCTCGGCAGGGCCGCCCGGCGGAAGAGGCTCGGACGCGCGTAGAAGCGACGCGCGAGGTGCCGGGATCTCCGCCGCGCCCGAGGAAAATGTAAGCAGTTAGTTTCTATGGGAAATGGTGCCTGTGGGGACATGGGGGGCTTCGGTGACGGGCGGGCTTGGGGACAGGCGACCCATCTGCGTCGAGCTGTCCGAGCGGCCTCATTCGCGCCCGCAGCTCGCCGGCCTTTCGCGCTCGGCCTAGCGCTCTTGAAAGGAGACCGTGCCGCAGTAGACCCAGCGTAGACCGTCGGGCCCATTTTCATGTTGGGTCCCGTTGGTGCCCAGTCCTTTGGGTAGGCTTTCCCCTCAGCGAGGCTGATGAGTGCTTCGCCCGAGCTGGTCGTTGGCCAAGGGCCCCGTCGCCGCTGCCCTTGAATTCTGCCCTCAGTTCGGTTGGTCGCTGGGGCCTGGCATCTCTAGCTTGAAGACGGCTCGAGGTGAGGTCCTCTATTTAAGTGTAGTGCGCCCCCGTACGGTCCAGAAAATCGCCATGCAGAGAGTTTGTGATTGGCTCCTGCGTCCGGCGCGCGCTGTAAGTCACCACCGTTCCCCGCTTTCCCACCCACCGATCATCGCCCCCATCCAGCACTTGTGCTCAATCAAGCCTTCGGCAGCGACAACTGGACCGCTCTCCACCAGGCCACGGCGGCCACGGCGCGTTGTCTAGCGGCTAACGGGTATTGGGACACTGTTCGAAGTTCCGTGCTGGCCTCGTCGGAAGCCCCTGGTGTTGGGGGGCGTTGTCCTGGGACGTGGGTTTTCCCCCGGGACTACTTGCTGCCTGCCTCCTGGAAGGCAGGTGTCCGCGATAGGAGCGAGTGGGCGCTGTGGGGTCACGGACTACTGCCAGACCCTGTCGCTCGGTGCTTGTCCCCATTTCCGGAGCTCCAGGCCAGTTGGGAGGTCAGACCTCTGGAGGCCACCTGGAGGGAGAGGCTTTTGGCGACGGGTCTTGCGGGTCCATCCTGGCTTGTGAGCCTCGCCTGACGCGGGCAGGTTGGTCCGTGGTCCAAATTTCTGGTGGCGGCCTCGATGTCGCGGCCGCCCTGCGTGGGCCCCTCCCTGGGCTCCTCCAGGATTCCGGGGTGGCCGAACTGTTCGATTTGCTGATGTACGTCTCCCACGTTCCCTTTGTACCTTTGTCCTGCGACTGCGACTGGGTCGCCGCCAGTCTCAGCAAAGGCCGCGGGGTCACTGTAGACAGTATGTGCACGTGCGCTCAGTGATGGAAGCGGGCGCGGGAGCGGGAGGGCGACTTTGGGAGGGGGAAGAGACTAAGGTACAAGGTCACGCGCATGTGCGTGATGACGACCGCTCGCGGATGACGCCAGATACCACACGTTCGGCAATAATTAGGCTGACAGGTTTGCGAAGGTCGGCGCAGCGAGGCACCCCCAGGATCAGGTCGCAAGCGACCGTGTCCGTCGCACCGCCGGCCTCTCAACTGCAGGCCCGTCCACCAGCGCTGCTTCGCCCCGTGCGCCTGCGGCCCAAGGCCGACGACGGCCGCCGCCGAGGCTCAATGCCGACGAGGAGGCCCCTGCTGGTGCGCAGCGCTGCTGTACAGTTCGCGGGCACCTGCTGCGCTGCGGCAGGTGCCCGCGCGCGGCCACGGCGGCGCCGAGACGCTGCGGCAGGCCGCGTGCCGTCCTGCAGCAGGCCGCCGCCTCGGGAGCGCTGGGCCTCTCGCCTTCTGCGGTTCGTGCGGAGCCCGCTCGTGTGATCATACCCAGCTTTTCGCGGCCGACTGCCGAGGACACTGCCCCCGCGGGTCGACGGCGCGCGGGCGCCTTGACCGCCTGTGGGAAGCACACCGCCCACGCACTGGGGCGGCGCTGCCGCTGGGTTCGAGGCCCGTCGCCCCGACTGCGTTCGGTGCCTTCGCCCTGGACGCCAAACTCGGGGACCTCGAGGTTCTCCCCGACTGGTGAGGTGGTCGCAGGCCGAGTCGCCCACTTGGGCGGAGAGGCTCCCGCCCGCTAGGTGAACGCCGCTCGGCGGCGGTGCCCGCGGGTATTGATGCTTCGCGAGGCCCACCGCCACTGTCGTGTACCGTCGGGCCACACCCTGGTAAAAACTCGTCCGCCTCGCCCTCCTCCCCCTTCTCTTCTCCTCTTCTTGTGGGTCCTCCTTTTCCTCGTCCTCCTCCTCCTCCTTCTCCTCCTCCTTCTCCTCCTCCTCCTCTTCCTCCTCCTCCTCCTCCGCCTCCTCCTCCGCCCCCTCCTCCTCCATATCCTCCTTTTCCTCCTCCTCCTCCTCCGCCTCCTCCTCCTCCGCCGCCTCCTCCTCCGCCTCCTCCTCCGCCTCCTCCTCCTCCTCCTCCTCCTCCTCCTCCTCCTCCTCCTTGGGGCCCTCGCCTCCCCGAAGGTGGCCTGGTGGGACGCCGCACCGAGCGAGCCGGGGGGCGCGAGCTCGAGTACGGGGCGGCCGGCGCTGGGCGCGGAGGGAGGCGGCCGCGCCGGCGCGGCCAGGTGCCTCGAGGGGTGTTCGGTGATTCCAGGATTCGAGCCTCCTTCCGACCTCCCGATCCTCCTCCACCTTCTCCTCTTCCTCCTCCTTCTCCTCGTTCTCATCCTGGTCCTTCTCCTTTTCCTCCATTTCCTCCTGACCTCCTGCTCCTGCTCCTCCTCCTCCTCCTCCTCCTCATCCTCTTCCTCCTCCTCCCCTTCCGCCTCCTCTCCTCCTCCTTCTCCTCCCCGTCCGCCTCCGCCTCCTCCTCCTCCTCCTCCACCTCCTCCTGCTCCTCCTTCTCCACCTCCTCCTTCTCCTCCTCCTCCTCCTCGCCCGCCCGCTGGCTCATCCGAGGGGGTGCAGGGCCTGAGGTAGGCAAGGACGGAGGTCTTCCCCTACGTTCGTCTCTTTCTTCTCCCTCCCCTCCTCCTCCTCCTCCCTCCTCCTTCTCCTCCTTTTCCTCCTCCTCCTCCGTTTTGACATTGGCCATGCTGCAATCGAGGCTTGCATTGTTCTAGCCCCCTCCTCCTCTCCTCCTTCCTCCTCCTCCTTCTCCTCCTCCTTTTCCTCCTCCTCCTCCTCCTCCTCCTCCTGCTCCTGCTCCTGCTCTTCCTCTTCCCTCCTCCTCCTCCTCCTCCCTTCTCCTCCTCCCCTCCTCCTCCTCCTCCTCCTCCTCCTCCTCGCACGGCCCTCCTCCACCCTTCTCGTCCTCGTCCTGCTCCTCCTCCTCCTCCTCCTCCTCCTCCTCCTCCTCTTCCTCCTCGTTATTGTCCTCCTCCTCCTCTTCTCTTCCTCCTCTTCTCCCCTCCTCCTCCTCTCCTCCTCCTCCTCCTCCCTCTCCTCGTCCTCTCGCCTGCTCCTTCTCCTCCTCCTTCTCCTCCTCGTTCTCCTCCTCTCCTCCTCCTCGTTCTCCTCTCCTCTTCTCCTCCACCTCCTCCTCCTCCTCCTCCTCTCTTCCTTCTCCTCTCCTCCTCCTTCTCCTCCTCCTCCTCCTGCTCTGTTCTGCCTCCTCCTTCTTCTTCTCCTCCTCCTCCTCTTCTCGTCCTTCTCATCATCATCATCATCATCATCATCATCATCATCATCATCATCATCATCATCAGCATCAGCATCAGCATCATCATCATCATCATCAGCATCATCATCAGCATCAGCATCAGCATCATCATCATCATCATCATCAGCATCATCATCATCAGCATCAGCATCAGCATCATCATCATCATCATCATCATCATCATCATCATCATCAGCATCATCATCATCAGCATCATCATCATCATCATCATCATCCCCCTCCACCTCCTACTTCTCCTCCGCCTCTTTCTCCTCTTGGTCCTCATGTGCCACTGGGGTTTGCTTGACTGTAAGAAGCGCCAATCCACCCTCAGCCTACACGCCAATCCCACCTCCCCCCCTAACGCTGTCTCCTCCCAGTTGGGGTCGGAGTAGACGGGGTCGAAGGATCGCGCCGTATCGACCATGCATCGTCGATGCGGCTCGATGTGGAGACCGTTTCTTTCCACGCCGACGTCGCCGATACATCACCGACGCCGCTGATGCTTCGCCGATGCATCGCCGATGCGGCACGATCCTTCGACCTCATCTGCTCGGACCCCATCTAGGAGGCCTCTAAAGATAGGGTCCTGAGGGATGGGGGAGCGTAAGACTCGAGTATGCACTGAGGGGCACGGTAACGTCACAGGACCCGACGGGATTCAACCTTGTTGAACGATCGACGCGGTGTAGAACCTTTGCGCGTGCCGACGCCGCACAAACCTACCGTGAGGCTCGAGTAGGCTGGAACTCGGGTTTGCCGGCGTTTTCTGACGGGTCCGTGCTGAACTTTGGCGGTCCAGTTTTCTTGGCATGTGTTCAAATCGGGAGCCTTGGGACGGGGGTCATGCAAACGGGGGTCAGTCAGAGCGCCGGATTTTGCAGGATCCTGCGGAGGCAGGTCTGCACTTACCCGGGCTAGCGCGCAGGATCTTGCAGGCCTGACTGACCCCTGTCTGCATTGATCCGGGTCAGAGCGTCCCCGACCAAAGTTGGGGCCCTGAGGGATGGGGTCCTCAGGACGAGGTCCCCAGGAGGTCCCCGAGGAGGCCCAAGGAGGGGGAGCTCGTACACACACTCAGAGCCATCCGCCCCAAGAGGACCCCCGGGAGCGCCAACGGGTCCCCAAGAGGCCAACCAGCAGTCCCAGGAGAGGAGGAGGACGCAGCAGGAGGGGGACGAGGAGGAGGAGGAGGAGGAGGAGGAGGAGGAGGAGGAGGACGAGGATGAGGAGGAGGGAGAGGGAGGAGGAGGAGGAGAGGGAGGGAGGAGGAGGAGAAGGAGGAGGAGGAGGAGGAGGAGGAGGAGGACGCAGCAGGAGGTGGAGAGGGGGAGGAAGAGGAGGGGAGGAAGGAGGGGTCGAGGGAGTCGGGCGGGGGAGGACGAAGCGAGCGACAGCCGGAAGGACAAGGGAGGAGGCGGAGGGCCGTGCGAGGAGGAGGAGGAGGAGGAGGAGGAGAGGAGGAGGAGGGCCAGGGCGAGGACGAGGAGGAGGTTGTTGGTGGAGGAGGAAGGGAGAAGGAGGAGGAGGAGGAGGGGACGCAGCAGGAGGCGGGAGGAGGGGAGAAGAGGGCGAGGAAGGAGGGGGTCGAGAGTTTGGTCGCTCGAGCGAGCGACGAGGCCGGAAGGGCAAGGGAGGAGGCGGGAGGGCCGTGGAGGAGGAGGGGAGGAGGAGGAGGAGGGAGGAGGGCCAGGCGAGGACGAGGAGGAGGAGGTGGTGGTGGAGGAGGAGGAGGAGGAGAAGGAGGAGGAGGAGGAGGAAGGACGCAGCAGGAGGGGGAGAGGGGGAGGAAGAGGGCGAGGAAGGAGGGTCGAGGGAGTCGGGAGGGCGAGCGAGCGACGAGCCGGAAGGACAAGGGAAGGAGGCGGGAGGGGCCGTTGGGAGGAGGAGGAGGAGGAGGAGTGAGGAGGAGGGCAGGCGAGGACGAGGAGGAGGTTGTGGTGGAAGGAGGAGGAGAAGGAGGCGGAGAGAGGAGACGAGCAGGAGGGGGAGAGGGGGATGAAGAGGGGCGAGGAAGGAGGGTCGGGGAGTTGGGAGCGCGAGCGAGCGACGCCGGGCCGAAGGGCAAGGGAGGAGGCGGGAGGGCCGTGCGAGGAGGAGGAGGAGGAGGAGGAGGAGGAGGAGGAGGAGGGCCAGGCGAGGACGAGGAGGAGGAGGTGGTGGTGGAGGAGGAGGAGGAGGAGAAGGAGGAGGAGGAGGAGGAGGACGCAGCAGGAGGGGGAGAGGGGGAGGAAGAGGGCGAGGAAGGAGGGTCGAGGGAGTCGGGAGGGCGAGCGAGCGACGAGGCCGGAAGGACAAGGGAGGAGGCGGGAGGGCCGTGCGAGGAGGAGGAGGAGGAGGAGGAGGAGGAGGAGGGACGACGGGAGGTGCAGCGGGCTCCAGCAACGACGGCGCGGGCCCCAGTTCCTGCGACTGCGCGGGCCGCACAGCCCTGAGGGCAACCCCTGTCGGTGATTCAAAGATGGCGTCCTGATGGGTGGGATCCTAACGACGAGGTGCCTCAAGCAATGTAAATCCACCCTTGCATCCCTTCCAATTCTCGGGTCCCGATCTCTCAGGGCCCCATCTTGGAACCGCCCAGGTGCGGCTGGCTGTTCGTGGGCTCGGAGCTGGAGCACGTTGGCCGCGACCAGCGAACAACACAGAGGAGGAAGAAGTACCCATGCCGCTCCCATTCTTCCGTTCTCACCTGTTTCGGCCTCGCGGGAGGCCCTCGTCGCCACGGCTGGGATCCCCTCCAAATCTTTGTCAGAGCGCTTCTTGGGGAAGCTCTGGGGGGTTGCGGTATTAGTACCTTCTCATACACCCATGGGGTGGACGGAAGGGACTATGGTATGGGCGCGGGTTGTCGGATGGGGACCCCCGCTCGAACGGGAGCCTCCAACGACAACCCACACGCATGCCCAGAGCCAGTCCGCCTCCCTCCAGCCCCCCTAGGGGTACGTCTGCGTTGATCGTTCGTCAGGCCGCGGCGCGTGGTGGCGGCGCGGGGAGCTGCTTGGCATGCAGGGGCGACGGCAGAAGTCGTGGAGCAAAACGTTGCACAGACAGGGACTGTCGGAGCACCGCGCGGACGTCTTGGATCGGCGCTGGGCCATCCCTGGCAGCGCCGCTGGCGCGCTCCGCGCGACAGGGAGGGCGGTCCAGCGCAGATCCACAAAATCCGACCGGGCGGGCCTCTGAAAGTTTACCTTTAAGCCGTGCCTCTCCCTCTACAGGAGGAAAATTCAAAACTAGTCCAAAAATAGTCTGGGGACTATTTCTTGAGTACTTTCGACCATTTGGGATGTTTTTTGCTTAAAATATGTTTTGTTTTTCGTCGACAATTTCCCTGTAGGGGGACACGCCAAACTTAAGTTTACCTCTGTGTATTGTTTCGCTCCTCTGAGAGGGGTACCTGAGGGGGGGAGAGGGCATGGTAATTAGGGCGCACTGGCCCGCATCCATCGCCGCACGGGGTGGCTCATTCACCCTCCTCCTCCTCCTCCTCCTCCTCCTCCTCCTCCTCCTCCTCCTCCTCCTCCTCCTCCTCCTCATCCTCCTCATCCTCAACATGAACGTTATGGCGCTCCGCGCCGGTTCCTTGGTTCCGCGTTGGGCCCCCCCGGCGGTGCCTCCAGCGCCGCCCCTGGCGCGCTCCAGCGCAGATCCAAGAAATCCACACGGGGCGCCAACACATTATGTGCATGCCATTTTTCTTTTCTTCAATGTATCATGCTGCACCCGCTTTGCTCATGTTCCGGGTCGACGATGCGTCAGCGACACCATGTATCCCCGTGCTCCGTGCTGACCCCATGAACCCTGCCCCTCAGGCTTCCTGCGCGACACCTACTGCGGCAGCATCGGCTTCGAGGCCGGGCACCTGGTCTCCCACTCCGAGCGGCGGTGGTGGCAGCGCGCCGCCGAGCGGCGGCCGGCGCCTTGGCTGGACCCTCCCACGAGCCGGCGCCGGCAGATCATCCGGCTCCTGCTGCGCGCCTCGCTCTTCACGGAGTTCCTGAACATGAAGTTCCCCACGAGCAAGTTCTTCGGGCTCCACGGCATCGAGGCCCTGATCCCCGGCCTCTACCGGCTCTGCCGCCGCTCCGCAGGCCACGGCGTCGAGAGCGTGGAGCTGGGCCTCGCGCACCGGGGGCGCCTCAGCATCCAGTCGAACCTGCTTGGCAAGCCGATGGGCCTCATCTGCGCGGAGATGCAGGAGAACCCCAGCGACTTCCACGTGGGCGATGTGAAGTACCACACGGGCTTCGCTGGCATCCTCCATGGTGCTGGCGTCGAGGAGGACCCCGATCAGCTCACGGTGCGGGTTCGCATCACGCCCAACCCGAGCCACCTGGAGGCGGTGGGGCCCGTGGTGGTCGGACGGGTCCGCTCCATGCAGGATGCCCTCGGCGGCGGCGAGCAGGCGCGGAAGAGGGTCGTGGGGGCCGTCGTCCACGGGGACGCGGCCCTCTCCGGGCTCGGCGTGCCCTTCGAGTGCATGAACCTGGCGGGGCTGGACGGCTACGAGACCGGTGGCACGATCCACGTCGTCCTGAACAACCAGGTCGGCTTCACCACCCCCCCGCACCAGGGGCGCTCCACGCGGCACCCGAGCGACATCGCCAAGGCCATGGACGTGCCGGTGCTGCACGTCAACGCGGATGATGTCGAGGCGGTGGATTACGTCTTCAGCCTCGCCGCGGACTGGAGGGCGGAGTTCGGCCGAGACGTGGTTGTGGACTTGGTCGGATACCGACGCTATGGCCACAACGAGCAGGACCAGCCCGACGTCTACGCGCCGATGTCGTACGCTCGGGTTCGGGGGCATCCGATGGTGGACGAGCTGTACGGTGCGAAGCTCGTGCAGGCTGGTGCGGTGGGAGAGGAGGACATCGCTGAGATGAAGAGGGAGGTGCTGGGCGAGTTCGAGGCCCAGTATGCAGAGATGACTTGCCACCGTCAGAGCGGAGTCGAGTGGCTCCGCGACAACTACAGTGGCACCGTCACCCTTTGGGGCCGGAAAGACCCCTTCGAGGCACCTCGGCAGCCGACGGGCGTCCCTTTGGAGACCCTGCGCCGCATCACGACGGCGTGCACGACGCCCCCGCAAGGATTCTCTCTGCACCCGACTGTGGCGCAGATGCTCGAGAAGCGGCGGCGAATAGTCACCGAGGGGCCTGGCGTCAGGGTCGATTGGGCGACGGCGGAGATGCTGGCCTTTGCGACCATCCTGCTCTTCCGGGACGTGTGGGCAGGGAACAGCGGGACCGGACCCTGGCAAGTGGATCGGGACCGCTTCCTGGCGCACCTCAACATCCGGCTCTCGGGCCAGGACAGCGCGCGCGGCACGTTCAACCACCGCCACGCCCTGATCCACGACATGCAGACGGGGGCCGAGTGGCGGCCCCTCGAAGCCATGGCGCCGGGGCAGCAGGCGCGCTTCTCGGTGTTCAACAGCCCGCTGAGCGAGATGGCCGTCGTGGCCTTCGAGTACGGCTACTCGGTGGAGGACGCCCGGACGCTGGTGTGCTGGGAGGCACAGTTCGGAGACTTCGCGAACAACGCGCAGGTGGCCATCGACCAGTTCATCGCCTCGGGCGAGGAGAAGTGGGGGCAGGGCTCCTCCCTTGTGCTGCTCCTACCGCACGGATACGACGGGCAGGGGCCCGATCACAGCTCGGCGCGCCTGGAGCGGTTCCTGCAACTGGTCAACGACGACCCGGACCACCTCCCCGGCACCTCGCCCAAGGATGTCCGAGACATCGAGCGGGCCTTCGACGTCCTGGACAAGACGTCGGCGGGCGTCATCTCGAAGGAGGAGGTGATGGACTACCTCTCCGAGCTCCAGAAGGCAGGGCCGCCAACGATCCGATTCGATGCGATCCGATTCTCCGGCCGGGGCCGCGGCTACACCCCGGCTCGATGCAGGCTCGATCCGCAGGCATCGGCTGGGGCCAGCCGGAGCCGGGCGCGGCGTTCCGCTTCCGACCCGCTTCGGGGCGATTCGTGGGCGGTCCGATCCGCCTCCGGTCCGATCCGATGTCGCGACTCGATCCAGCTCGGGCCTGGAATCGCCGAGCGCGCCCCACATGCTGGCAGTGTGCCGGGCCTACTCGCAAACGTCAGGAAAGAAGCCGGGCCTTCCTCTAGATGTGCAAGAGGTCGGGAGTCACCCGCGGCGCATCCGGGCCATCTGCGAGTAGTTGACCCGCGAGTCGTGGGGCGCCCTTGTCCACGGGAGGCGAACCTGACGGAGGAGCGGACGGCCGAGGAGGTCTGGGCGGAGGTCGCCTCCGAGCTGCACGGTGCGGACCACGAGCGCCGCGGGATCGACCGCGCGCAGTGGCGCCAGATCATGACGACGTGGATGCGGCGGCACGCCGAGGATTATAGTGCTCCAACCTACCTGAAACAAAACACAAACCAAGAACAGGAAAAAAATGCTCCAACCTAGCTTAGCCTTGACCACCAAAAGGAAGTTCGAGCGCCAAAACAGTGCTGAAACTCGAGGGCTTTCACGCGTCGGGCCCCGGGAGACGCTCGCCCGACACTGTCTCGACACTCTTTCGACACTCTCTCGACGCTTTGCCGGATGCTCGAGCAGATTATTTCGGGGATGGGGTCCCGAAGCACGACGGGGGCAGCATAAGCCGAGGAGCAGACCAACCTCTTCGTGGTCAACGTCAGCACCCCGGCGCAGTACTTCCACTGCCTGCGCAGGCAGGCCCACATGCCCTACAGGACTCCGCGGGCGAAGCAGGGCGTACGACGCGGGCGGGCGGCGGGCACGTCCCTCTGCCGGGGGAGTGTTCAAGCAACAGGTGGGTTGCATGCTTCTGGAATGGAACAAGAGTTTTGGGGCGATGCTTCGACTGTGTTTGACTCTGTTCGACTACCTTTCAGTCGGGCCTGTCCCTCTACAGGGGGGATATTCCCAAATAGTCAAAATATAGTCTGGGGCTTTGTTTGACATGTTTGGGCATCTTTTGAATATTTTGCGTGTTCTTTTTTCCCAACCCTCTTGCGTTGGGTTCACGTTTTGAATAGAGCACTGCTCGCGCCTTCCCACCCCCTCCCGTCCCTCTCTTCCCCCCTGCCTTTTACCTGGCTCGTCGCTGCGTTTCGAGGGCTGCTGGGGGCTGCGATCTGTGAAACTGTCGCCACTTTCGAGGGCTGCTGGGGGGCCCAGCACAGTGGCACCCGCGGCGGATTCAAATGGGACCTCGCCATCCCTGGGGGGCTGCGATCTGTGAAACTGTCGCCACTTTCGAGGGCTGCTGGGGGGCCCAGCACAGTGGGTACCCACGGCGGATTCAAATGGGACCTCGCCATCCCTGGGGGGCTGCGATCTGTGAAACTGTCGCCACTTTCGAGGCCTGCTGGGGGGCCCAGCACAGTGGGCACCCGCGGCGGATTCAAATGGGACCTCGCCATCCCTGGGGGGCTGCGATCTGTGAAACTGTCGCCACTTTCGAGGGCTGCTGGGGGGCCCAGCACCACGCCGGATTCAAATGGGACCTCGCCATCCCTGGGGGGCTGCGATCTGTGAAACTGTCGCCACTTTCGAGGCCTGCTGGGGGGCCCAGCACAGTGGGTACGGCGGATTGAAATGGGACCTCGCCATCCCTGGGGGGCTGCGATCTGTGAAACTGTCGCCCCTTTCGAGGCCTGCTGGGGGGCCCAGCACAGTGGGCACCCACGGCGGATTCAAATGGGACCTCGCCATCCCTGGGGGGCTGCGATCTGTGAAACTGTCGCCCTTTCGAGGCCTGCTGGGGGGCCCAGCACAGTGGGCACCCACGGCGGATTCAAATGGGACCTCGCCATCCCTGGGGGGCTGCGATCTGTGAAACTGTCGCCACTTTCGAGGCCTGCTGGGGGGCCCAGCACAGTGGGCTTCCCGCACGTCTTTCTCCTGCTCTTCGTTCCCGACTCCCCATGTCCTCTTCGAGCCTGTAGTTGTCGCCCCTCGTTCTTGTATGGTTCTCCTGCGCATCCTTCCATTGGCGCGTGTCCCAAGTAGCTTACATATCAAACAACGGATCCTGCAATTTGATTGTCCGTGCTATTTTCGGCCAACTCTTCGTTTCCCATGATACAAATGGGTTGGGTACGTCACAGGGTAATTCATTTGTCGTCCAAGATCCCCCTGTAGGGGGACAGGCCCGACCTAAGACTACCTATGTATTGGGCGTGTTCGATTTGTCGTCCACGACCTGCCTGTAGGAGGACACGCCCGACCTGAGCATCCGACTAACTTTCCCGCCGTCCAGGGACGCCTCCCCCCAAGGCGGCTGGAAAGGCTTGCACCCTGATGTTAAGTCGGGCCTGTCCCTCTACAGGAGGAATATTCAAGAATAGTCAAAAACTAGTATGAGGACTATTTTTGAGTATTTTTGACCATTGTGGAATATTTGTTTCGTATTTGCAATTTTTCGTCTAAATCCCCCTGTAGGGGGCCACGCCCGACTTACCCCTGATGTGCCACAGCAGGTGTATAATCGTTTCCAGCCGCCCTGGGGCAGGCGTCCCCGGCGGCAGGGAAGCACGTTCTGCGCAGTGCCCCGCCCGCCACAGGAAGCCCCTCGTGGTCATGGCGCCGAAGTACCTCCTCCACCACTCCAAGGCGACCTCGGCGCTCGAGGACTTTGGCCCGGGGCAGTTCTTCCGCCAGGTCATCGTGGACTACAACCCGCAGGCCTCCGAGTACGCGGGCCTCGGCGACAACACGCGGCACCTGGCCCTGCTCAGGAGCGGCGCCCCCGCCATGGAGAGGCCGGCGAACGTGCGCCGGCTGATCATCTGCAGCGGGCAGATGTATTACACCCTCTCGAACGCGCGGAGGGCGCGCAAGGTCAAGGACGTTGCCTTGATGCGGCTGGAGCAGATCGCGCCTTTTCCCCACGACAGGATCACGGAGGCCATATCGTTCTACCCCAGCGCCGAGGTAATGTGGTGCCAGGAGGAGCCGAAGAACATGGGTGCCTGGTTCTACGTGCGGCCGAGGCTCCAGACCGCTCTGCGCTTGTGCTCGGCCAGCTTCCGCAGGCACGTCGAGGTGCGCGGTTGAACGGCTCAGCATCTGGACATCACAGAGCCTGGCCAGGGCCATCTTGCCCACTCCCGGCCTCGGCCAGAAGGGCGTATACACCAGGCCTGGGCCCAGGAGTGCCCTGGCAAGGCATGTGGTGGTGAGTATGTGTGCGTGTGTGAGTGAGGTTTACGTCTGGACTTGCTGGGTGGGGTCAGTGGGTGGGCCAGGATGAGCTTAGACTCTGATCCCTCGAGACGAGGCCCTGGCGCGAGAGTCCTGCGGCCACGCAGAGTGCCCGAGCCATCCGCGAGTCCTTCGGCACCCGTTGCGTCGTCAATTTCGCAATGCTCCAGGTCTCCCTACGGTAGAGGGAAACGATGAACTTCGTGGACACTCCCCCTTCCCCCAAATTCAAAGCTGGCAAGCGCAGGGACGACTGCGGTCGAAGTGCAAACCACTCCGCCCACCGCCAGCATGGATTTCGGGGAGCGGGGTGCTGACAGATGAATGCGGCAGGAGTGCTCACAGATTCCTTCCGAGGCCTGCACCTCATCCTTCGCACTCTGGTTTCGATGCGGCGCCGCCGCGCCGCGTGTCGCCTTCGGCACGCGGTGCTTGTCCGCGACAGGGGGTCGGATTGGGGGGCTGCCCGCGGGGTCGGCGCCCCCCGCCCCTCGCCGCTTCTCCTTGTTCACGTTAAGTCGGGCCTGTCCCTTTACAGGAGGAGTATTCGGGAATAGTGCACAACATAGTATGGGGAGGATTTGTGAGTATTTTTTTCTAGCATCTTGGGACTAAACACGCAACTCGCCCAACATCCCCCTGTAGGGGGGCACGCCCGACTCAGTTTTCATGAGAGTCGAAGTCACGGGACGATGTTAGGGAGAGTTGCGTCGGTGTTTGGTGCAAGGGGCGTTTCGCGCTCCTGCCGGAGCGCGCCTCAGCCAAATGTCTGCGACGGCACGCATGCATCGGGACGGCGGCAGTAAGCTCACTGAGCTTATGACGAAACGCGGAGTGTGGATGTCTTGCCGTGCATCTTTCTTCGTGGGCACCGTGGCGCCCGAGCGGGCCTCTGGAGGCCCAAGCCCGGAAATGACGGGCCGCCCTTGGCCTCTTCGGGGCCCTGAAGGTGCGCGTCTTGCTCCCGCAAGTCGGGCCAGAGCCGGCAGTTTAGGGCGATTCCGGCGTCCCAGAAAGAGCTCTCGACGATATGCGGTTGTTGGGCCACCACCCAGGAGCCCAGAACCTCTCACAACCACCCGCAAGCACCCGACAGCGTCCCAACGTATTTTTACGGACCCCGAAGCCTAGGCCGTAGCAGAGGTCTCAAAAGGTTCTTGCGATTGCGTTGGATTGGAGTTCCGCAGAGACCCTTGGGTTCGGCAGCACACCCTGAAGACCCTCCGACACCTTCCTTCTCATCCTTCTTCCCTCCGCATCCTCATACATTGACCTCCTCCTCACCGTTCATTCTCATCCCTCCTCCTTCCCCTCCTGTAGCCCCACCTCACGTCCTCATCACCATCATCTTCCATATCCTCCTCCTCCTCCTCCTCTCATCCTCCTCCTCCTCCTCCTCCTCCTCCTCCTCCTCCTCCTCCTCCTCCTCCTCCTCCTCCTCCTCCTCCTCCTCCCCCTCCATTCCTTTCCCTCATAAGTAACGCCCTAACGCACCGCTGGACGCGTCGGCGGAGCGGGCCGGGAGTTTCGCCAGAGACTTCCGTGCACGATCTTGCAGCTTAGAAATTTCGCATCGGCTTCCGGGACGGAGGGCGGGTGGTGTTTCAACGTGTGGGGATGCGAAGGGGGAGGAGGAGGAGGGGCAAGGTGGATGAGAGAGGAGGAGGAGGAGGTGCACGAGGAGGATCGGTGGGAGGGGGGAGGGGGAGAAGGAGGAAGGGTAGGAGGAAGAGCATGAGGAGGGGAGGCGGAGGAGGAGGCGGAGGAGGAGCGGGGGAAGGAGGAATGATGGAGGGCGGTTGATTTTCAGCATGTGGCTCTCGCCCTGGCGCCGCGCACATTCGCCTGGGAACCTTTGCAGCAGCTTCAGGGATGGAGGATGGGTGGTGCTGCAGAATTGGCTGTCGTCTTAACTCAGGAGGGGGAAAAAAAAGCACACAGACACAATGAATCGTCGATTCCCAGGAAAATGTGGAACATATGGGAAGTGGGGGGGAAGACAAAAACCCAGACAATATGGGAAAATAGTGCGACTCTCGTTATTTGTGTGTATTTATGTGTGTCCTTGGGCCCCTTGATTAACGCCGGCACATTTTTTCAACAACTTGCAGCGACTTTACGGATGGAGGGGGGGAGCGGGGTGTTCAAGCTGTGGCTCTCGCAGCAGCGCCGCGCACAGTCGCTGTGACAGCGTGCAGCTGTTCCACGGGTGGAGGCTGGGTAGTTTTCAAAATGTGGCTCTCGCTTTCGCCTCGCGTGAAGTCGCTCCTGTCCCTCTGCAGGGGGAATAGCCAAAAAAGAATCAACAAATAGTCTTGGGATCATTGTTTCAGTACTTTTTTGTCATTTTGGGGGTACTTGTTGAGTTTTTTTTATTTTTCGTCGAAAATCACCCTGTAGGGGGACACGCCCGACTTAAGCCTCGCGCTCATTTGTCTTACTAGTTCGCAGTATGTCCCAGGATTCGTAGTGTTGAAGTCCCAGGGATGGTGTTCTGGCACGATGTCGGATCGTCAAGTCTCATCAGTCACGCTGAAGCCCAAAGGACTGTTCTGGCACGGACGAAGATACGCAGACGAGTGTCTTTCACTGGGGCACATCCCGCACTGAGCCTCGAATCTTGCAGGGACCTGTGAAACTTTGAGGCAGGGTTTACAGCAACATCGTTGGCGCGTCTTGGGTTCACACTCGTCCTCCCCTTCCTCATCAGCCTCCTCCCCTCCTGCCCTACCTTCTCTCCTTATCCCTCTCATCCTTCTTGTTTCCCCCCTCGAGCGCCCCGCTCCTTCCTTCATCTCCCTCTTCCCCCCTTCATCCTTCCTTTTCTACCCATTCCTCCCCCTGCTCCTCCCCTGGGGTCGCTCCCCCGTGGGCTGATCCGCGGTGTGAGGAGTTCTGTCTTCCGCCTTCGGACAGGAGCAGGAGGAGCAGGGGACACATTGTGGGGATGCGAAGGGGGAGGCGGAGAAGGGGCAAGGCTGATGAGATGCGGAGGAGGATATGCACGAGGAGGATAAGAGGGAGGGGGGAGGGGGAGAATGAGGAAGGGTAAGAGGTCGCGGCGGTGGCGGCGTCGGTCCCGTCCTCCTGGCTCGCCACGGTTCACAGGCACCTCAGCGACCTCGCGCTCCCCACGTATCCGATGTGGGCCGAGCGCGACCATGGCCTCATCCCAGCCTCCCAGCGGGGGAGCTCACCGCCGCACAGAGGAAGCGAAGCGTCGCGCGCTACCTGGACGTGGTCGTCCGGCCGACGCTGTTCGACAGGGAGATGGCAAGGCGGGAGCGGGAGGCGGTCCGCTACCCACAACGCGGCCCCCAGGCGGCAGCAGCCATCGCGGCGGGAACCACGGCCCCGCCATCCGCCATCCAGCCGCGGGCGCAGTTCCGGATCCAGGGGAGGCTCACCTCCAGGAGGGGCGCGGGGACCGCCAGAGGCGCCCGCTGCGGGATGGGCATGCTCCGCGACACGGGGTCCACCCCCCTGGAAAGCTGCCCGCAGGCGGAGGCTGCCGCGCGCGGCGCGGCCGCCGGCACCCCCCTAGGGGCGGGGCGCGCCCCCCGCGCGGTGCCGGCTGCCCTCGGGGCGGGCGACGGCGCAGAGGCAGGCCTGGCGGCTGCCGCGGCGCCGGGCGCGCGAGGCGCAGGCGGCGCCGGACCTGCGCGCAGCGGCGGCGGCGAAAGGCGGGGAGGAGCTGAGGTGCCCGCGGGCGGCCACCGGGTGCTCCGGCAGGCCCCGCCTGCGGCGCACTGCGGGGCCCCGCGGAGTCGGCCGGCAGGGAGTCGCGGGAGGGTGGCGCACGACATGTTTTGGGCAAGTCGCTGGGCCCGTCTGCCGGCCAGCGCCCGCCGGGGAGCGGCAACGCTCGATGAAGAAGAAGCAGGAGGAGGAGGAGGAGGAGGAGGAGGAGGAGGAGGAGGAGAGGCAAGGTGGAGGAGGAGAGAGGAGGAGGAAGGGCACGAGGAGGATGAGTGGGAGGGAGGGGGAGAGGGAGGAAGGGGAGGAGGAAAAGAGGAGGGGGAGGAGTGGGGGAAGGAGAAATGATGGAGTGATGCGGGGGGGGAGAGAGAGAGAAGGACGGGTAGAAACAAAAGGTTCGCCACGCATCCGCTGGACCAGCTTCCGGATGGGCACGGCGACGACGCGCCCGTCGTGCAGTGGAACGTAGTGGCCAGAAGCATGTTGTTCACTACGGATTGCAAGCCTCTGGCCGGCGTGGTCAATGGAACCACCGCGCTGGCAGCGCCCTCCCTCGGATCCGTCTTCGCTCGAACGACCCAGAGCTTCTTCAACGTCATGGGGTATGGATGCAGGCCGGCACAAGATGCGGATGGCATGGTTTTGTGGCACAAAAGTGATTGGAATATCAGAGCAGATTATTTGATTAACCACACAATGCACGAAACAAGATTTTGGTATCAAGCATTTCTGGCAGAGTCTCTAGATCTGAACCAAGCCACTCTGATTCACAGCGACGGCGGCACTCGAGCAGGGTCTTGTTCGGCAGCCGCCTGGTGCGTGGAGGCTGTGACTCGCCGCGGTCCGATGGAATGCACCCGCCTGCTTACGATAGCCGGCGCGCTCATCAGCGATCCAGTTTCTGCTTTTACAGCGGAGGCTCTCGGCTTAGAGGAAGCGGCACGGGCGACGAGGGAACTCGCCAATCAGATAAGCAACTGGCCATCAGTACACTGATCTAGGCCCGGCGAAAGAAAGAAGAAAGCGAGAAGGACGAACGGAGGAGGTGGATGGGTAGACTTAAGTCGGGCCTGTCCCTGTACAGGGGGGATAGTCAAACATAGCTTGCGGACTCTGTTTTGAGTCTTTGTTGGCCATCTTGGAGCATGTTCTGCTCATGTTTTTAATTTTTCGTCGGAAATCCCTTTCTAGGGGGGCAGGCCCGACTTCAGGGTCGACGGAGCAGCAAAAAGGGAAAAGGGGGGGTGGGGGGAGGCGGGAGCAGGGGGGGAGACAGGCCGGGGGAGGAGGGCGAGGAGTGCCCCCCCGCTCCTGCGCCCGCTCCTGCCTCCGCGCCTCCCTCCTCTCGGGAGGGGGACAAACACACAGACACAGTGAGTCGTCGATTTCCCCGAGGGTGTGGGAGAAGATGGGAAGTGGGGGGGAAGACAAAGAGCCAGAAACGATGGGAAGATATGGGGAATCCTTTTGTTTGTGTGTCCTGCTCCTGCTCCTGCTTCTGCACCTCCCTCCTCGTATTAAGTCGGGCCTGTCCCTCTACAGGGGGGAGTCTGCGGACGATGTTTTGACTATTTTTGTCTATTTTGGGGGTATGTTTCGAATATGTTCAATGTGTTGCCCAAAATCCCCTGTGGGGGGACACGCCCGACTTAATCCTCGTCCCCCCGTCAGTCCCTTGTGATATCCTCCTGCAACTCCTGCTCCTGCTCCTCCTTTCCTTGGGCAAGCCGCCAGAGCGCCCGTGGCGTCTTACCGCTCGTCCTCGCGCACTCTTTCCCTTGCGTCCTCGTCCTCCGCCTCCTCCGCCTCCTCCGCCTCCATTTCTCCTCATCCTCATCATCCTCCGCGTCCTCCTCCTCCTTTTCCTCCTCCTACTCCTCCTCCTCCTCCTCCTCCTCCTCCTCCTCCTCCTCCTCCTCTTCCTCCTCCTCCTCCTCCTCCTCTTTCTCATCGTCACCATCATCACCATCATCCTCCTCATCATCACCATCATCACCACCATCACCACCACCACCACCATCATCATCATCATCATCATCATCACCACCACCATCATCATCATCATCATCATCCTCATCAACACCACCATCAGCATCACCACCACCAGCAGCAGCAGCATCCTCATCCTCTTGTTCCTCCTCCTCTCCCTCCAGGGAGGAGGGGGGAGGAGGAGGGGGAGGAGGAGGGGAGGAGGAGGGGAGGAGGAGGGGGAGGAGGAGGGAGGAGGGAGGAGGAGGGGGGGAGGAGGGGGAGGAGGAGGAGGAGGAGGAGGAGGAGGAGGAGGAGGAGGAGGAGGAGCACATCCTCATCCTCTTGTTCCTCCCTCCAGGGAGGAGGGGAGGAGGAGGAGGAGGCCTTCCCCCGCGCGGGCTGCCCCCCGCGTTCGAAGCGCCGCCTTCCCCCCCAAGGTGCGGTACGCGGGCCGTCCCGTCTCGGCCGTCACGGCCACGGGCTCGCCCCACATCCACCAGCAGGAGCAGAGGCGCATCGTGGACGCGGCCTTCGCCGCCTGAGCCCCCGCTCCTTCCTCCTCCTCCTCCTCCTCCTCCTCCTCCTCCTCCTCCTCCTCCTCCTCCTCCTCCTCCTCCTCCTCCTCCTCCTCCTCCCGCCCCTGCGAGGCCCGGCCTCCACGGAAGCAGAAGGCGAGCGCTGCTGCTGGCGCGCAGTTGCTGCTACTTCGGCCTCTTCTTCTCCAGGGTCCGTTGGTAGAGGCCTCTTCGAGGCCCATCGGGGCGGCCTCTTAGGGCCTTTTCAGCAGAATTTCTTGGGGCTTTGGGGGGGGCCGCAAGAGCTTTCTTGCGGGCCTCTTCGGGGCATGTTTGGGGTTTGGGGGGCTCTTTTGTGGGCGAGCAGGGGTCCCTGCGAGCTCCCCCTCTTGGGCCTCTCCTGGGAACCTCTTGAGGGCATTGTTGGCCGTCTTGGGGGCCTCTGAAGGGCCATCTCCAGGCCTGTCGGCGCCGTCTCCGGGCCCTCTTTGGGTTTTTTGGGGGGCCGTCGTGGGCCAGTCTTGGGAGCCTCCCGGGCCGATTGGGATGTTGCTTTGCTTCTTGAGGCCCTCTTCGCGTGTTGTCTTAGGGCCTCAGGGCCCTCTGGCGGCGTCACCAGACCCCCTCGCGCTGTTGAACAAATCACGACCAGAGGTTTTGCGCCGTGTTCGACCTGCCGGGGCCCTTCCCAGGCCTCGGGGCCCGTCAGACATGATTCAGGCTGGAAAAGCCGGTCCCCGGGAAGGGGTCCAGACTTCTGCCCCCCCCCCGGGAGCGGGTCCAGACTCCTGAGGGGCGTGTCATATAGAAAGACACGACGTCGGGGGTCTGGGTCGTGGGTCGCCTTGAGGCCGTCTTGATGTTCTCGAGGCCTCGCCGGCGTGTTGGAGCCCATCTGGAGCCATCCGAGACCGAACTTTGGCTGGAAGCGGCGGAGGCTGGAGTTGCAGGCCTTGGGGTCCCAGGAGATGCGTTGAGGCTGCTCGTGCCTCCACCCACAATCCCCCCCCCAACCCCCTCAAATGTGATTCTGGGCCCCAGGGCAGGAACGGGGGAGGGAGATAGCCAACCACCTCACACGCCTTTGCACCCCCTGCGAGTGGCTAGGGAAGAGGCGTGGCCGATGGGGGGGAGAGGAGGGGGAGGAGGAGGAGGGGGAGAAGGATGCGGGGGAGAAGAGGGTGCAGGGCGAGGAAGCGGAAAAGAGTCGTTACTTCCGCTCCCTCCGGCTTTCCTTAGAGCTTGTGTGCGCGTGCCGCTGCACGCGGCTGGCTCAAGACAAGTGGGAGGGTGGGCCGCAGCTGGCGCCTTAGCGGAACAAGGTGCGCGCACCTTTTTTTAGCGCGCGCGCATCACCGCCCAATCTCACATCTACGTCACGGAGCCTTGAAGCTATGTCGGACGACATCGCTAAGGGCCCATCCGTACACATTATCTTTGCTGGAAGATAGGAGATCGGAACAAGGAACAGGAGCAAAGAAGACGTTCGAGGAGGGGAGGGAAGAGGTGGAGGAGGAGAAGGAGGACCAGCGTAAACTCCACGAGTCATCAACGATGTTGGAGTAAACCCTCCCTCCAAGCTCCCTCGTCAGAGGCCCCTACAACGGTTCATCCCCACTGAGGAAATTGTCTCGTTGGAACACAACCGTTTGAAGAGCCTGAAGCATTCCAGAACATTTTTTCGTGATTCCAATGCCACGGATCAACCTGACAGTTGCGTCTTGACGATCAGTGATCGTGCTAGAACGCCATTCTTGGGACTTCAACACTGCGAATCAACGTAACTGTTGTGCCATCATAATTCTGAACACTTCGAAAACACAGTTTCTGATACGTTGACCGTAGGAATCCGTGACACTCTGACCGGCGAGAAGGCGAGATCCACTTTTTGAAAACGGGCCGCCTTCAATCGGTACAACTTCTTCTTTTATAAGAAAAAAAGCTTTAAGACAAATGTGCGCTCCGTTCAGGCGAGAGCCACATTGTGAAACCGGGCCGCCGTCAGCCCGTGAAAGTGTTGCAAAGTTTGACAACGAATGCACGCGGCGCTGAGGCGATAGCTACATTTTGAAAACGATACGCCCTCCAGCCGCGAAGCTGCTGCCAACGTTTAAGCTTCAGGGTCTAAAGTGGTGGCGAAGTGTCGGGCGAAGCGCCTGGCCTGCCCTGAACACTTGGCTCGGGGAGCGACAGGGAGAAGTGACTTATGAGGAAAGGGAATGGACCCGGAATGGAGGAGGAGGGGGAGGAGGAGGAGGGGGAGGAGGGGGAGGAGGAGGAGGAGGAGGAGAAGGAGGAGGAGGAGGAAGACGAGGAGGAGGAGGAGGAGGAGGAGGAGGAGGAGGAGAGGGGGCCTAGGAGGAAGGGGGAGGCGGAGGAGGGCGCCTCGGTCGCACCGATTGCCCTCCTCGGAGGTGACCGTGCGAGCGTCCAGCTTTCCGCGGAGGAGGGCGCCTCGGTCGCCTCACTGGCCCTCCTCGGTCGGTCGCACCGCTTGCCCTCCTCGGAAGTGGCCGCGCGACCTTCCAGCTTCCGCGGAGGAGGGCGCCTCGGTCTCGCCGCGGGCCCTGATCGGAGGAAGTGGCCGCGCGACCGTCCAGCTTTCCGCGGAAGAGGGCGACTCGGTCGCTCCGCTGGCCATCCTCCGAGGAAGTGGCCGCGCGACCTTCCAGCTTTTCGCAGAGGAAGGCGCCTCGGTCTTACCGAATACCCTCCTCGGAGGTGGCCGCGCGACCGTCCAGCGTTCCACCGAGGAGGGCGCCTCGGTCTCGCCGCTGGCCCTCTTTGAAGGTGGCCGCGCGCCCGCCCGCCCGAGCGGAGCGCAGAGGCCCCATGGGGCTCCGCCCGCCAGCGAGCAGCGGCCCGCGCGAGGCGAGGAGAAACGGGCGTGTCCTGCTTCGCTCTACTTTCTTCGTTCTGTCTGCCCACGTCCCACACCTCCTCCTCCTCCTCCTCCTCCTCCTCCTCCTCCTCCTCCTCCTCCTCCTCCTCCTCCTTCTCCTCCCCCTCCTCCTCCTCCCCCCTCCTCCTCTTCCTCCTCCTCCCTCTCCTCCTCCTCTCCTCTCTCTCTTCTTCCTCCTCCCCCTCCTCCTCCTCCCTCCTCCCGCCTCCCCCCTCCCTCCTCCCCCCTCCCCTTCTCCTCTTCCTCCTCCTCCTCCTCCTCCTCCTCCGCCTCCTCCTCCTCCCTTTTCCTTTTAAAGAGCTCCTCCATGTCGCACGCCGAGGCCGGTCGAAAGGGCGGGCCAGGCATTTCGCTTGAGACTTCTTTCCGACTTACGACTCTGACGCGGCGAAACCCGCACAAGTTTCACAGATTATCGCCTCAGCGCCGCGCACACTCGTCTCAAATAATTGCAAGGGTTTCATGGCATGACGGCGGGTGATTTTCAAAATGTGGTTCTCGCCTTAGTACCGCGCGCATTTTTTCAACATCTGCAAATGTTTAACAGACAGAGGGCAGACTGTTCTCAAAATGTGGCTCTCGCTTCAACGCCGCGCGCTTTATGTTTTGTTACAGGGCTTCACTGCTTGAGAGCGGGTGGCTTTCAGACTATGCTTCTCACCTAAGCGCTGCGATCACTCGTTTCGAACATTCGCAAGAGCTTCACATAGTGAGGGCAGGTGGTTTTCAAAATGTGGCGCTCGCCCCGGCGCCGCGCACATTCGTTTTGAACATTTGCAGGGGTTTCACGGGTTCCCATGGTCAGCGTAAAAGGACAGGTGATTCCCAAGGACTCAGGATTGTGAGGACGCAACAGTTGGGGTTATTCGTCGTGTTGAAGTCCCAGGAACGGTGTTCTGACGCGTTTCAGGATCGTCAAGACGCAACAGTCAAGTTGATTCGTAGCGTTGGAGTCCCGATAATGGTATTTTGGCGCGCTTCAGGATCTTCAAAAGGTTGTCCCCCAACGAGGCAGTTTCCTCAGTGGAATTGAACCCCTGTGGGGGTTTGTGAAGAGGGAGCGTGGAGGGATGGCTGTTCCAACATTGTTCTGAGTCTTGGGTTCGCACGGGTTCTCCTCTTCCTTCTCCCCCCCCGCTCATCCTCCTGCCCCTCTTCTCGTCCTCCCCTTCTCGTCGTCCGCCTCATCATCATCATCATCATCATCATCATCATCATCATCATCATCATCATCATCATCATCATCATCATCATCATCATCATCATCATCGTCATCATTGTCAGAATCGTCATCATCGTCATCAGCAGCAGCACCATCACCATCACCACCACCATCATCACCATCATCATCATCACCACCATCATCATCACGAGACCGCGAACACCGATGTCGACGGCGAGTACGTTGATGACGCCGTCTTTGCCTTCCTCGAGACAGAGCACGGCTGGCCCCAGCAGGTGCTGGACCAGCTCAGAATGGCCACGGACATCCTGGTCCACGAGTTCGCGCGCTTCGGTCTCACAATGCATTTTGGTCCAGGGACGTCCGCCGCCATGGCCAAGCTCTTCGGCGACGGCTCCAGGAAGCTCCACCCGAGCGCACTCCTGTATAACGTGCGCGAACAGTTCACCCTCCCCGGGCGGCTTCACCCCGGAGATCGTTCACCTGTTTGCCCAGTTGGGCACGATCCGCCAGGACGCTGGAGGTCACCAGGCCGACCGTCGCAGGGCGGCCGAGGCGCAGCTGGCCTTCGCGCCGCTGGCCGTCCCCGTCTGCGGGCCCAAGGCCATGGCGGAGTCCACGGGGATCGAGCTCGCCAACTCCCTCGTGCTCTCGGGCGGCTCGTTTGCAGCGGCGGCATGGCGAGGCCAGCTCGACAGAGGGTGTTTCCCGCTGGAGGCCCAGCACCACCGAGTGCTGCGCCGCACTCACGGCTCCATGCGCTTCGGGGCCCCACGGCACGCCGACGGACTCAGAGGTGCGGACCCCGCTGAAGGCCCCCGCGCTCGCCTCATTGGTCATTGGTGCGCGCGCAACGACTTGCAGGCCTTGGCTCGCAGCTGCGAGCGCCGCCGCTGGTGATACACCGCATTACCGCCGTGCCCAAGCCTGCGTCGGCCACTCATCTCCTGACGGACCTCATGCAGCTGGCATCCGCATTTCCGGCGGAAGCCCAGGCACTCCGAGACCCGCTTCATTTTCCAAGCGCTTGGCGCGAGTTCATCGTGTGCGAGCCCGCGAGACGGAGGCGGCTTTGTCACGCATTCCGCGCTTGCCCATGCGGGGCCCCGCAGTCCCAGTCGGCCATGCGCCAGCAGCCAGGGAAAGCAACTTGTCCCGCTTGGGCGGGTGACCGGGCCAGTCCCGACTCTGGCGTGCCCGGGCTGCCAGAAGGAATTCCGCGGCCCCACAGGCTTGGCCGCTCACAGGAGACACGCGCACGGAGTAAGCATGCAGGCGCGGTTTCACGACCTCGGGGCGATGTGCCCAGCGTGCTCAGAGGAGTTTTACGCCGAGGGCGCCAGCTAAGGGCGGCAGACATGAGAACACCTGCGCAGGTCGCAGGGGGGAGCGTCCGCATAGCGTTAGGTCGGGCATGTGCCCCTACAGGCGGATTTTTTAATGAAAAATAGAAAGTGCCTAACAATTATCCCAATAGTTTTATCCTAAAAATAGAAAATAGAAAGTGCCCAGGAAGTTCATTTTCAAAAGAAGTCCCCTACTTATTTCTTAATAATTGTCTGCGCACTCCCCCTGTAGAGGGGCAGGCCCGACTTAAGCATCGCGTCGCTCAGCGCGGCCAGGGAAGCCAGGAGATGTTTCGAAAATGCCTTGGCTTGCCTTTGGACCTTAGTGGGCCCCGGAAACGGCAGGGCCGTTTTTTCACCGTTTCCGAAAAAGTGTCTCTTGAAAATGGAAACGGCAACAAAAACGGCGACCGGAAACGGCAACAAAAACGGCTCCAGGATTGGAACCGGAGCGGGGAACCCGTAAAAGAACGGCGACGGAACCGGTAAAGAAAACGGCGCCGGAACCGGCAACAAAAACGGCAAAACGGAACTGGCAAAACAACGGCCCTGCCGTTTCCAGGGCCCACGAAGTGCTGCACTAGGGGGCCACTTCATGTTCACCGCAGCGCCCTGCGCAGGCGCTCTCACGTCTACCGCCCCTTAGCTGGCGCCCTCAGCTCTTGTCATTATCCTTGAGTCGGGCGTGCCCCTCTACAGGGGGGATATCCAAAAATAGTCAAAGCATAGTCCGGGGACGATGCGTGGGCTCTTTCTGAATATTTGTGGGCATGTTTGGAGTCTGTTTCTATGATTCGCTCAAAAGTCCGCCTGTAATTGGGGGGACATGCCCGACCTCACCTTATCTTAGACTGGGAACCGAAGGGGTTCCCCCCCCGTGGTGGTTCTCCTCATCCGCACGCGTTTGCTCACCGAGCCAGCGCACCTGCAGGCTCCGCACGGCGTTGCCTGCTTCCTTGCCTATGTGCTCCAGGTGCGTCCTCAGCCGACTCGAATCGAATCATCAGCATCATCAGCATCATCATCATCATCATCATCATCATCATCATCACCATCATCATCATCGTCATTAGCATCATCATTACCATCATCAGCATCAACATCATCAACATCGGCATCGGCATCATCATCATAATCGGCATCTTCATGATCAGCATCATCAGCAGCATTATCGTGACCATCATCGTCATTATCATCATTGCCGTCATCGTTATCATTATCACCATGAGCATCAGCAGCACCATCGTCATCATAATTACCATTACCATCACCATGACCATGATCAGCACCTTCAGTATCGCCATCATCATCAGTATCATCATCATCATTATCAGCATCATCAGCATCACTATCATCACCATCATCATCAGTATCGTCATCGCCATAAGCAACATTTGCGTCATCATCATCACCAGCATCATCGCCGTCAGCGTCATCATCGTCATCATCACTATCACTATCACTAACATCTCCATCGCCATCAGCATCAGCATCACCATCATCATCATCATCGTCATCATCACCAGTAGCAGCATCATCATCCTCGTCATCATATCACCACCCTCATCATCGTCATCACCATCGCCATCGCCATCATCATTTTCATCATCATCATCATCATCATCATCATCATCATCATCATCATCATCGTCATCATCGTCATCATCATCATCAGCATCAGCATCGCCATCATGCTGGCCACAGGCTGCGCGCAGTCCAAATAGGGGCTAACTGCGTCAGTACTTTACGATTCCATGGGGAAGCTGATGGACATTAGTGTCGTCGACAGAGGCGCATTTCGGAGCAGACACGGGTTACAAATGATTTAGTTGATTTGGATGTGGTGGCCGCTTTGCATACTTGCCGGTACTTCGGGCTTGTGGGCCGGCTTATGGACAGTTGCCCAGAGTTGCTGTTATGCCATGTCTTCAAGTGGAATTACCATTCTGAGGGACGTTTGAATCTGCACAGAGTCCCTGATATGCAGGGCCATCCCCGATTTTCGCCATGGCATTTCAAAGCTCAGGTGACATCGTTCTTGTTTCAGCTATCACATGTATTGGAAGACAGTTGTTTTGAATCGAAAGCTGTTGACAAGTTACGATCCAGAGTGGCTACAACACATGTTGGGAGCTCTTGGACCGAAGGCAGTCATATAGACTGTCTCGACTGCTCGGGCCGCTGGAGGCTGAAGCTACTTCTTCTAGCGGTAGCCGGAATGAAATCAGCATTATCATCATCATACGCATGATCACCAGCATCATCATCATCATCATCAGCATCAGCATCATCATCGTCATCGTCATTGTCATCATCATCCCCGTCCCCTCCGTCCTGCCTCCATCCATCCTCCCTCCCTTGTCACACCTCCGTCCCCTGCGAGAGGAACACGGCTGGACGTTTTTTGGGCACGTTTCTGCCTCAGGGGCCCCTCACCGTCAAACACGATC